GGGTTAAAGAGGTCTTCATGATGCAAAACAAAGGATGGTGGCAGAGACAGACCAGAGAGAGAAAAGGTGTGTCTGGGATGATGTGCTAATGGTCACAGAAGAGGGGAAGGGGAAGGTGAGCTGTTATGGGAGATGAGAAGATGGGCTCTGTTCTTATGGTCTGAAGTGGTTTGTTACAATATATATTGTAATTCATGATGATGAGGACAAATCCATTTTTTAAATAAAAATGCTTCTGAATCGAAACTATGCACAAATGTATTTTTTCTAAAAAATCTAATCCGTTGTTATGGCAATATGAAATTTGAGGCAGATTTTCATAATATCTCTGCTGTGCCGTAAATTAAAATAAACTATTCTTGGTTCGAATGGAATAAAGCAGAAAATCTCAAAAGCATCACATTTCTGGATGAATCACTTTACCCAGCTTGGTTACTCACATTCAGCTACTGTTCACAAGGGAAATAACCAACATGAAAAAATGGGCTGAATGGTCTCCTACTCTGTCATCCATTTCTATGGTTCTAACAATAAATAATAATCTTTGTATTTGATATAGCGCCTTATCACATTGTCAAGGCAACCCAAACACTTCACAACACTGTAAAGTGGAGTGACTGTATTTTATGGGGGAACATGGCAATTAATTTGCACAATGCTAAATAACTGTGAAGTGAGTGATCATTTATTTGGGAGATTGTTGGTCAGGACACTAGGACCAACTTTCTTCTCTTTTTGATTAGTGCCACGGAATCTTTAATATCTACCTAAACAGGTAGATGGGTCCTCGGTTTAATGTCTCATCTGAAGAACAGCGACTGAGTGGTATTGATAGTACAGGTACACTGGCACCTAATGTAAAATGATCTCTGCCAGGTCCACTTGAAGAACTGATTTATTTGCATTTACGATAAATTTGCTGGAAAGCAAGAAAGGTAGCAGTAAATCTTATTTCACTCCACTATGTAGTATATATGTTGACCACAGGATGGCAGACTCCTCCAACTGTTACTGGTTTTCTTGCAAAGCTAAAAATGGAATCAAAAGAAGTAAACACAAAAAAAAAGCCATTTGAATTCGTGAATCAGAGGCAATATATGATAAAGAGAGGTAATCAACCTACCTCTGATGACAAAATTATTCTTATACCCAGCATGATGCAGTCCTATTTGCACTGCAGATCAGCTTGGCTTTACAAGATTGCATCAATTCACATATGCCAATGCTCCTGTTTACCCTCGATCTCACCTTCAAAGCCTTCCACAGTCTTGCTCCCCCTACCTCACCAACCTCATAACCCCATTTCAGCCTGTCTGCTCCCTCCACTCAACCAGCTTCAGATCCCCCGCACTTCCCGCCCCACCATTGGCGGTCGGACATTCAGCATCTCTTACCCACCCCTCCCACCCCCCCATTCTGGAAGTCTATCCCGCAATCCCTACTCTTCACTCCCTCTGTTGCCTCCTTCAAGTCCCATCTAAAGATGTCCTCTTCGACTGTGACTTCGGTTTTCTTGCACCCTCACCCCCCCTACACTCCACGTCTCCTGACCCCAACTCCCATCTCGGTTCCAAAAATCCGTTACTGAGGATCGACTATGCAACTCGTCCCTCCACAGGCTGCAGACCATCCAGAACTCTGCAGCCTGTGTCCTGTCCCACATTAGACTCCATGACCCTATCTAGCCCATCCTTGCCCAACTCCACTGGCTTCCCATCACACAGAGGATTCAGTTCAAGGTCCTGGTCTTCACCTTCAAAGCCCTCCATGGTCTTGCTCCCCCCTACCTCTCCGACCTCCAAACCCCCCACCATCTTGTTCGCTCCCTCCGCTCAGCGGGTTCCGGCCTGCTTCACTTCCCCGCCTTGCTCGCCCCACTAGCGGTGGGCAGGCCTTCCGCCCCACCCTCTGGAACTCCATCCCACAGTACCTCCATCTCACCGCCTCCCTCGCCACCTTAAAGACCCACCTCAAGACTCTTCTCTTTGTCCGTGCTTTCGATCTCCCTGCTTCCCCCCCTGCCCTCCATTCTCCCCCACCCGGAACCTCAGCTCGGGTCTGAAACTGTCTGTCCAGGGCTTTGGGATGTCCTCCCGACGTGAAAGGCGCTATACAAATGTTATTTCGTTGTTGTTGACTGTCCAGTGCCCTGGGACGTCTTTCCAATGTGGAGGGCGCTGTACAAGTATAATTTGTTGTTGTTGTGGTTGTTTACTACCAAGTTGGTTTCTTTCTATACAACATGTACAATCAAATTTATATTTATGTAGTGCCTTTAATGTTGGGACATCCCAAAGCTCATTCACCTTGCGGGCTTGGCACCTGAGCTGGGAGTGGGAGCATAGGGGAGCGGGAAGGGGAAAGATGGCTGAAAACAAGGTCAAAGAGGTACGTTTTGAGAAATGCTTTGACAGAGGGAAGGGAGGGAGCAAGTTGGAGGGACTCTAGGATGGAGTTGCAGAGAGCAAGGAGAGAATAGTTGAAAGCCCACCTGCTGATGGTTGGAGATAAGGCACATTTTCAGATAGATGAAGCAGGCCTGCATTCAGTCAGCAAAGAAAGAGGAGCTGGGTAGGTTTGAACAAGATCGCAGAGGTCTAATTCTGAATTAAGAGGGGGAAATGTGACAAAAGATATCCAGTTTCGTGATGCGTCAACCAGCAGGTGCAAGTAGTGGAATGAACATTGTTTGGTCTTTCCAATGTCCTAATTACCATAATCAATCTCACAATTTTAGTTCAGTTTTACTGGATTTTGGTTGCCTCGGGGCCAACTGGTCTGGGGCAGAATTCAGTTCAGGAGGAGAAGCCATGAGAAGAAACATATTGAAGCTGCTGGGTTGAGCAGGAGTGAAACAAAAAATATGGAGCCTCAGGCATGTATCAAGGAGGAGAGTTAGTGGAGAAGGATAAAGTGGTCAACAATGTTGAAAGCAGCAGAAAGCTCGAGTGAGACTTGGAGGCACAGGGAACCCTGGTTACATGCAGACAGGATGTTGTTTGTGATTTTGATATATAATAGTTGATGTGGATCACTGGCCTCGAGCATATTTACAGCCCAATAAAATAATTTCTAGATTTATTCTTTTGCACTGGGATGGCATCTCCCAGGAGCAAAGTTGTTATTCCATTCATCTCAGAATGAAATTCATGACTTGCTGTGGGAGTAATTGATGAATGTGCCACCCATGCAAACTGGTAAATCAGACAACCATAATTGAACAAATCTGCCTTACAACCAAAAAGCCTTAATGTATCTGGTTCTCCCTTATTTCATGCTTTGAGCATTAGTACAACAACCACAACTACAAAATTACAATTGTGTAGCGCCTTTCACATCGGGAGGATGTTCCAAGGACGGAGGGCAGGAGGGGGAAGGATGGTGACTGAACCACGATCAAAGAGGAGGGCCTTGAGACGGGTCTTGAAGGAGGCAAGGGAGGGGGCAAGGGGGAGGACTGCGGGTTGGAGTTCCAGAGGGTGGGGGCAGACTGGCAGAAGTCCCGCCCGGCAATGGTGGAGTGAGTGAGGTGGGGGACGTGAAGGAGCCCACTGAGTGGCGGGTAGCGAGCAAGATGGTAGGGGGTTAGGATGTCACAGAGGTAGCGGGGAACAAGGCCATGGAGGGCTTTGAAAGAGAGGACAAGGATCTTGAACTGCATCCTCTGTGTGATGGGAAGCCAGTGGAGTCGGGCGAGGATGGGGGTTATAGGGTCACAGATGATGTCACCAAGAGGGAGCATATAGATATTGAAAAGTAGAGGGCCAAGGACAGAGCCCTGAGGGACATCACACGTGATAGAGGAGAAGCTGTTAGTGGCGACAAAGTGGAGATGGTAGGAGAGGTAGGATTTGAACCAGGCAAGGGCAGCAGAGCGGTCAAGGAGGCAGAGAGAGCCCTGGCCACAGCTGTTCAGAATGACCAGGGCTGTTTCCGTGCTGTACAAGAGAGGAAAGAGCGAAGCTGGGATACGATGACTCATTCCAGGGTCTTGGAGAGGAATGCGAGGTTGGAGAAGAGGTGATAGCTGGAACGTAGGGATGGGTTCAGGGAAGGTTCTTTGATGATAGAGGTGATGACAGCTAGTGGATAAGATTGATAATGTCGGTTAAAAGAGGGGCCAGGAGGTGGAGCTGTGAGGAGAGGGGTTTGGATGAGGTTGAGTGAGCATGTGATGGGCTTCATTTTGGAAATGATGGGAGATGAGGAAAGAGGGGAAAACAGGGTCGAAGGTGTGTAGGGAGGGATGCATGGGGGCCAGAGCGTGAGGTGTTGAAGGGGTAGCAGTGGATGAGGGAGAGGTAGCCGAACGAATACCCTCGATTTTGGATTCGAGGAAGTCCAACATCTCTTCGCAGTTGGAATCATTAACATGATTTCCTCGGAGTTATTGCTTTTTCTTTTCGAAGCCTCTTGTTTTGATGTCAGGAGATAAGCATTTTACAGTTACAAAGTGGATATTGATGGTATTTGATGGTCAAAAGGTCTTGTAATTTTATTCCGAGACTGCTCCACTTGCCAGTTCTATGTACAGTGGAAACTCATTTTATGAATGCCTAAGTCAGGCTGGTCCAACCTTTTGGCTGCCGAGGGCTGCACTCCAGGTTTGAGAAACATTAGCGGACCACATAAGCAATATTTTATCCTGATTGTCCAATACCATTGCTGGGCAGAGTCTCCCTGGCACCTGCATGTCGCCTATATTTGCTTGTCAGACAATAAAGATGCAAATGATCCTCTGGGCCAGATGCGGCCCTTCGGCCACCAGTTGACCACCTAGGCCTAAGGCAAATCTCTGTTCAGAATAAGGTCCTACAAATAGCCCTGAGATGAATGACAATTAATCTGGCCAAGACATCAGGAGAGACTCCTTTCACCATTTGTCATAAATAGCTGCCAACACCATGAGTAACTGAAACAGGAGTTGATTTACAAAAATTCAAACTTTGCATTCTTGCAGCATATTCCTTTTTTATATAAAAAAAACATGGAGCAGGCAGTCAGGAGAAATAATCACAAATTTATTTGTTTTAATATATCAATCAGTCATTTACCATTATGGCAAGAATTCTGTACACTGTGTCCCATGATAAACAGCAGCTTTCCTTAAATGACAGAATTTAAATATCATTTCAATGGTGCTGAAAAATCAATCGCTGCTCTTCATAACTTGGTGTGGAAGACAAACTGAAGTCTTTAATACTACTTTAACACCACATGCGGCATTAAAATGTTAAGATCACATTTAGATTTCACACACATATTTTACTACAAGTAGTCACCAAAATAGAGGTTTTTATTCTTTCACAGATGTTATTGGCAGATTACTATGGCCCAATAAATGTACATGCTTATTTAAACAGTTTCTGAATCCATGTGATGGTGACATATCATTTTCATCTATTTCACGACTGTATTCTCAGCAGTGAAGTGTGATTTGTTTAAAAGGGTGGATAGTTGACTAACCAACACACAAGTTGAAATAATACAAACATTAACCTCGCCAGGAATGAATTATAGGGCGAGAGTTTGATCGCTGCCAGCAATCATTGATTGAGATATCATGCACTATTCAGTACTGCAGTATACAGTTAGCCCTATATGTATACAAACAGTCAAGAAACAAATATTTTAAAAGTACCCCCTCCAAAAAAAACTTACACATCAGATAACCCGAATCGTTTACAAGAACACCTCACAAATACACAAGGAGAAGCAGAAGCAAAATCATCCTGTTCTCCATGTCAATAAGCAAATATCACACAGACAATTTTTTTCATTTAAAAAAATTAATCCCTTTAGATGCGGCATGAATTGGGAGAAAGAAAAAATGAAAAGATCGAGCTATCTGAGCACCTGCCTAAGGCAAGTGAATGGTATATATCGATGCATATAAATCACAGATCCACTGTACTATATTTCATAGGTTTAATTCCAAGTTTTGTATTTATTATTCAATCTGAAAGAACTATGAATAGCTACCAATAAGCAAGTTAACGGAGTTTCACAAAATTCTAAACCCTAATATTCCCACCAAAAAGCAATAGCATTTTAGACTCAAATCACAAATCTGTACATCGCCATAGAGAAAGCAAGCTTGATTTTCCAGAAAGATATTGCACAACAAAGTGAATTGAAAATAAAGTATCAACCTGAAAATGATCTTAACAGGATACTGATATGAAATACAAGAAGTAAAAGAAATCTAGCATGAGGATGTTTCATTGCTTTTTTTAAAAAAAAGATATTTTACCATATGTATCAGCTGGACAAAAAAACAGTAAGTGTCAATGAAGGTAAAAGGCTGTTCAGTTCATGCATTGAGACTGTTACAGCCAGCCCTGACTGGTTTTGGAATGGCAACTTATAGTGCCTGAAACATTCAGAACATTCCCTTCTATACTCTGTATGAATATGACCCACATATATATTCCCATACTGACCCAAAAAAGGGGCACAATTATTCTCCTTTAAAATGCAATTCAAATCTAGAAAAAAAAATTATCTTTTGATTTTATTTAGATGTTTACCGCTATAACAAGTTCAGAAAATTGGCATAAATAAAGGATTAAAAAGTACTTTCAAAAACTTTTCTTCCTTTGGTTTCATTCTGCCTGTAATGTTTCTTCCCCAAGAGGCATAAACAAACACATTTACGGATGGAATAAACAAAAGGACATGTCACAAGTGCACTGTCAGAGCTTCATGCATTCAGAAACATGCGTGAAAATAGACTGGAAGTGCCTGTTGATGTGATTGTAACCTTCCAGTCCATCAGGAGTGCTGACAATCCAGCAGTGGCATCACTTGTTTTTAGCTGGAAGAGAGCAAGATTTTAAAAATCAACAAATAAATAGATTAGAACAGAGCTATACTGCTGGCACTTTGGTCTTTGCATTCTCTACAAAATGCAAATTATTCAAGCCATAAGACCTTAGAATCCATCCTCCTTCGCCAACCCCCACACATTTAATGATAATAATAATCCTTGCATTTGATATAGCGCTTTTCACATCATCTAAACGTCTCAAAGCACTTCACAGAATATACTGTAAAGTGAATTGACTGTATACCTTGTAGACAAAATGCGGCAGCCAATTGCCTACAGCAGTGTCCCACAAACAGTCGTGGATTGAAATGACCAGTTTTATTTTTTTTCTAGAGGGATTATTATCGGGCGTGTGGAGTAAGGAAAGTTGTCCAAGGTTTCACCCTGCTGGGAATCGAACCCGGGTCTCTCGCTTGCCAGGCGAGTGCTCCAACCACTGAGCTGCAGGACTGAGATACTTTAACTGAGATAGAATGAATGATCAGAAAAAACTATTTACAGTATCTCTTGTGAGGAAAGCAACTATAATTTCCGGCACTCTCTAAAGAAAGAACGTATATCTTCAGAGAGCTTTATCACATTGAAACGTCTCAAAGCACTTCACAACTAATTAGTGAGGTTTAACTTGATATTTCAAATGCAAAGAGTATTCAGAACAACTCACAGGAACTCTGCTCTGGAAGTACAGCACAATAGAGCAGGTCAGTGTGACCCACTTCTGGTTACCAGATTCTTTTATTTTCTAATTGCCAGATTATTTTATTCTCCACATGTAATTATCACATGCAAATTGGCTGTCATCTTCACCTACAAAATACACAGTCATTACACTTTACAATAAATCCTGTGAAGCACTTCGAGACATCCTTCTGATGTGAAAGGCACTATATCAAACGCAAAGGATTATTAATTGATTATTATCACATGTTGGTTTCAGAGCAGAACTGCGGAGAATTTCAAAAAGGAACATATTCTGGGAAATTCAAAGCATTCCAGATGATATAAATGAACTAATTATAATACTAATTATTAATACAATTAATTATTGTAAATAAAAGAGACCATCTACTAATCTAGTTCAGAAATCCTTTGGCAATCTTGAATTTAAGTGGACCTCTAAATATATGAAATGTGATTCTGCCAAATGATATGAACTGATATTTGGTTTAACACATTGGTTATTAACTGTTCAATGTTACATTTTCACTACCCAATAAAAGCTTGGCTTCTTTTCTTCTCACTATTAACATTGGATGAATGGGAACTGTCAGAAGTTCGTAATCCTGAGTGAGTCACCTGAAATGTGATACCAGCTGTCTGCTCAGCTGGAAATAAATAGAAACCAACTAACTTTTGCAAAGTGACATTTCAGCCTGTCTCTGGTATTCCTAAGGGCTGAGGTGTCTAAATAGTCACATGCAAATCATTTAGCGTCAAGCAACTTGGAAAGGCATTTCTGCATGTAAAGGATTTCTCATTGCTTTGCTGCAGTTATTAAGAAACTACCTGCTCTTCCATGCACCAATGCATAAATCCACCTTACTTGACAGATGCGGATTGGGTTCCTGAGCGGTGGAAATGAACATTCTGCCACTTCCCATCACGGCGATGCCAGACTCTGGTCTCCTCAGTCTGCATGGTTTTTGGCATGCTGCTGCTGTCAATGTATTGGGTGAGGCGGATGTACGCTATGCAGGCTGCATCATCGCCGATCAAATGGACGTGTGGATTCAAGATGATGGTGTGAATTGGCTTGTTGTTCTTGGACAGAGCTACAAAAAGATGCATCACTTTTAATAATAAGATCACACAAAAAAAAACATAATTTATAACAACTGGAAATTGCATTGACCAATACCATTTTCAAAGTAGAATCTGTGGAAGTCCATTCCTTCTACCAGGTTACCCAGTGCTTCAGGTTCAAATGCTGTGAGACCTGGGTCACAAATCTTCCTGCAAAAGACACAGTTTCAAAAGATCAGTTATTTTCAAAATATGAGGATTGCTCAAAGTTCATAAGGATCTCACGCCATTCCCCCATCATAGATACTCGGGAGAGATAACAATCCTTAGAGTTAGAAAGACAGTCAAGCAAATAATCAGCAATGAATAGCAGACATAACATACTGTGCTACAGTAGCATTAATTATTTTGTGCCTCTGTGGTCATGGTAGCAATCTTGTCTCTAAGTCAAAAGGTTGTGGGCTTAAGCCCCATGACAGGATTTAGAACCCATATCTATGCTGACACACCAATACAGCATTGGGAATTTGTTGGAATGTCCAAAGTGATGTCCATCAGATTAAAAAAAACATTATATTTGACTCCAACAGATGGTGTCTCTGGATAATGGGTGTAAAATTGCCATAACCATCATGACCTATTAAATCTTCTGGATTGAAACAATGGTTTTCACTAGATCCGTCAGAGACATAGATGAACCATAAGAACATAAGAAATGCTACATGAAGAAAGGACCAAGGTTCATCTAGTTCGCCTTCCACCTTCCTGGCGGTCGCATGCACATATGTCCCAAACTACCTATGTACTATATCCTATAAATGTTATTTCCTAAAAGAAAACTATCTAATCTGTGTTTGAAAGAATCAACACTTCTTGCTTCAATCGTCTCCCTAGGGAGCCTGTTCCATAGGTTTACTATTCGCTCACTGAAATAGTGTTTGCATAGATTTGTTCTGAATTAACCCCCACTTCAATCGCAGGCTGTGTCCTCTGGTTTTACTATTCAGGAAAAGTTGAAACAGCTTGTCATGATCTATATTGTCATGCCACTTTAGAATCATAAAGATAGCAATCATGTTGCCTTTCATTCTTCTCTTTTCCAGCGTGAAATTGCTCAATTTACTTAGTCGCTCGTAATAGTCCAGCCCCCTTCCATTCCCTCAATCATGTTGGTTGCCCTCCTTGAACCTTATATGAATTAGACTTAATGTATTGTATCATGAGTACTGCTGAACTCTGAGGTCTGCCTGTTCTGGTGGCCTATAGAGATCCCACAGCACTATTCAAAAAGAGAATGGAGTTTCTCCCATTGTGCTGGCCAAAAAAAACACATATAATTGATCACTCACTCCATAGCTGTTTGTGGGACACTGCTGTGTGCAAAATAGTATTTTTCAATCATGTCCCCAATCAGAAATATTTCACTCCTGTCATGTAGTATCCCAGTGAAAATTTACCCAGTTTGTAAGAATGAGTCATATTACACATAATTACCTAAGATATTGTAATATAGTGCAGTAGCACTCATGATACAATACATTAAGTCTAATATATATTAGGTACCTCTATGGCTCTGGGCAAGTTTAATGAAGCTATTGCTTTAGTCCACAAAATTTAATAGATTGTGACGGTAATGGGAATTTTACACCCATTATCCAGAGGCAGCATCTATTGAAGTGAAATATAATATGTTTTTCTCTTTCTGCACTCTCATTCTGAGATACTGCTGTGCACTTCCTGGTGGTTGTTTATTAGGTAAAGCGGTGGATATGGAGTATCGAGTTTTCAGATTGTGCATTTGCTGGATAAGATGTTTAGAATAAGGATAACTAATTGAGAGGGTAAAATAAAAGACTGAAAACATCATATATGCACCAGTTTCCCTGAATCTAGATATTTAGAATGACTGGGAACCCTCAAGTATATGGTAATGATCGCATCTAATACATATAAAATTGTATGTAAATCTAACATTTTTGAAAGATTTCAATAGCTTTTGGAACCTATATGGAGGTTGGCATCAAGTCAATTGAAACATTTTTGGGGGGGTTGTATTTCCAAGAGAGAATAAGCAGTGGTTAAAAGCATTACTGTTCAAAGTCCAAACTCTTCAATTATGCAATAAGCAACAAAGCAACCAATTTTGAATTGTGGAAACCAACAAAAAAAGGTGCTTACGTGTAGGCCTCAAAATCTCCATTGTTGATGGCTTCAATCAGCTGCTCTGTAACTTTGATAATTTCTTGTTTGCGTGCTAAGAACAAGTAAGATAGATTGTTAATAAAAAAATGAAAAGATGGTACAATTGCGCTGATTTTCTACTAGTCTCTAAAAAGATTTCCCATTTCTCTCAGGCTACCACTGTTGAAAATTTAAAAATTTTAAAATCACTTATTTTAAAAACAAATAAAGTTGATGCTCCAAGTGCAGACATTAAGACTAAAAGGTATTCGAGGAACAACAAGCACAAAACGTGCAATCAGAATTTCCAAACCAAGGCACATACGCCAGTAAGGGTCAGTAAATTGTGTTTGGAGAATAACCAACAACATGCATCAGAATGAGCAAATTCGGCTGTCAATTTTCAAAGCACAAGTACCAATGCCACTTGTCATCTTCACTTAGTTCCTTTCTCTCCCTCCATGTGGAGACAAATGCCACACCTTATACTGTAGCAGGGCCTATTTTGACATCTTAATTCTTTCATAACAAGTGGATAGACGTTCATTTACATTTCCCTCAATGCTTGTGGACTTTGTTTTGTGCCGTATTTCAACACTGTATCTTGTCTTCCAGATAAAGATGCAAGGCCACATTATCAGGCTTAAATGGGGGATGACCAACACCACAATTGTAAAAATTTGTATCAATACTAACCAAGTTAAAAGTTAATTCTATAAATAACCTTATCCTTTCCTCCTTCCCAGAGAGGTCTAAGTTCTGAGTTGTGCTAACCATGCTTAAACTGTGAATTAACAGAAGTCCTTAATTATGCCATTAACCAATAGGAGGCAATTCTTGTGTATCTCAACTATCTAATAATCTAAATGAGCAATTCTTTCATTTTTTAGAATAAATTTGCTATTTATACTAAACTGATTTCAACTCTGACCTTCTGTCTGTTTGTTTGCTCTACACATCAGTTTGAAGACATAACTCTGAATGCTACTGTACTACATTTCTTCTATAGAAAACAAAATGTAATTATTTAGGCACTGATACCAGAATTACATTCCTAACAACATTGTCTGAGAACAATGCAGCACAGTGAAGTACTCAAGAGCCACCATGCTGTATCAGATTAAGAAGAAACATCTTTAATGCCAGTTATTAGGTCACAACCTTAATGCCCAATTACGTAAGATAAAGAATTTTTGAAGAAATCTTTCCAAATCATTCACAACTGCGAACTGCAAAATTTGACAAAAATAAAATTAAGATGACTACCTAGGAATATCCTGATAAGAACCTTAATTTTGATATGCTGGATATTGAAATCAGCAGCAGAATATTATATTTCTTCAGCTTGATTTTAGATGAAGTATTGTTTTGCAATGAGTGCAGCAGTATTGCTACAAACTGCAGTGACTGCACTCACACGGAACATCTATTCTTTGCATAATTTAATACAATAGCGAGAAGCATACTGCTTTGTAAACTTTTTTCAAAAAAATGATGGGTAACTGATACAGGATGGGAGCTTTTTACACAAGTCATTGTCACTATTAAGGCCAAAAAATATTTGTGTCAAAAATAGAGACGTACAACAACAAAATTACATTTGTATAGCGACTTTCACATACATAATACTGTTTTCATTACACCCTTTAAAAAACAGGGTGACAAAAACATCTGAATCACATGAGCATATTTCAGTCACTAGCAATGAAACACTCAGGCCTAAAAGTGAAATAAACAAGTGTACGGTTCACACTATAATACACATCTGTACCACAACAAAAATTGTACATGTAGCACTATTTACATACAAAAGTATACACATCACAATAATAACTGGTGGACAAAAAAGCATAGGACATAAAAATTGACATTTTGGGCATCATTATTTAGTTACTGTAAAAGTAACACTTTGTAAAAAGTCTTCAGTCCTATATATGGTCTAGTTAATCTTCTAGTCTAGCCACATTAATCTTCTATGGCAGCCATTCTCAAACTGGGTCCACAAGATCGTTTTGGGTGGTGGTGGGAGACGCACTGGAAGTGCAGAGGCTATGAAATCTATGAAAGCCTAGTTGGACTATGGAAGCAGCGCAGCCCGAGTAACGGATGAGAGACACCCGTTCCCATGGTTCTGGTGTGTGATTTGTTATTTCAGAGCAGCCTTTGTGGAGCCTGTGAGGGAGGGCAGGAGTAAGGTCTTGTTGCATCGCAGGAAGCCTGCGCTGAGTGTGGGGGCTAGTGGGTTCTCAGTCAGGGGTCAGGGTACCTAATGTCCTGGGTGGCTCTGAGCTCAGAAACGGTGGGACCTCTGCTCCATGGGACCACAGGGACTGTTGTGCTCTTGACTTACACTGGACAGAGGAAGGTGCAGGCTGTGAAGGATCTGACTCATGCGACTGATTCTCTGAATGTGCATTTGGGTTAACGTTTGCATTTTCTGTGCACTTGGTCGCTGAATTGATGGAAAGAAACACAACATATGAACAAATAAAGATGAAAAGGTAGAGGGTGACCAGGATCTTCAAGACACAGTGACAGCAGGAGCGACTGCTGGGGCAGAGCAAGGATGGAGACCAGCAAGAAGATATGGTAGAGCAGGAGGAAGAGGATGATGAATGATTGAAACATAACCTTCCTGTCTTACACTCCTCTGAGCAGTCTGTACTTGGAAAGGTGCAGATGTTGGGAGGGAGAAAAATGCCAGAGTGAAATAATGAAACAATGAATATAAATGAAGTTAATGATGTCAAAACTGCTGTCAAAAGGTTTTAATAAGTTGCATTTTCTGTTCTGTTCAGATGCCACAATCCCATTTCATTCAAACTACTCTGCATTGCAAGTTTTAACCAGCATTTAAAATGCTAAATATGCAGACAACAATTATAAGTCTTAATACAGTACTTCAATTCAACACACTCAATTGTGTTTCTCCTTCAAAAATAGAACCTTTCACCAGATGCTGCAGAAACAATGCAAATATGAGACTCATTTTACAATATTTTCATGACAGATTCAGTGCTTATGGTAAAAATAGCAATAACTCGAGCCACCTTTCTCAGACCCCGAGAGATGCTAATTTTGGACTGGAACATAGTTACCAATGCCCACAGGATAACAATCATAAAAGAAAACCCAGCTTGCCAGTAAAGTCACCCAATTAACAGCTCTGCAAGGTTGTCCTTTCATCAGGGCATTAAAGGCTAAATAGTTCAGTAAAGACTGAGTGAACCTAACAGTTACCCACATTGCTGACTAATATAACTAAATGAAGAGCTGCACTGTGCATGTTGTTTTGTTTCAGTATCAAACAAATGTGCCAAAGATACCTTTATCATAAGATTATGGATCAGGACTAACTGAACATTAGATTATATTTTAAAGCTCCATTGTTTTGGCCTTTCAAGCTTCCCAATTGTTGGTTTATATTTAAAACCAGATTTAAAAACCTGCCCCTTTCTTTTTCCTTCTCATTCTTGGCTTCCTGCTCTGTTCCCAGCAGCAACAATACATTTCATCTATACAGCATCTTTCACATCAGGAGGATGACTCAAGATACTGGACATTGAAGGATTTCCATCCGATCTGGGGGTTGGAATCAACAACAACAACAATCAAAAGGGCTGGCGTCAGGAGGATGACCAAAGGCATGGTCAAAAAGGAAGGTCTTGAGATGGGCCTTGAAGGAGGCAAAGGGAGGTGGAGGGGCTCCAGGATAGAGTTCCAGAGGGTGGGGGCCGAAAGCTCAAATGTCCAAGGTGGACCAGGCAGGGCAGGGTACATGAACAGGCCAGTACCTGCCGACTGGAAAGAGTGGACAGATTGGTAACGTTTTAGTAGGTCGCAGAGATATGGATTCATACGAATCCCAGACAAGGTTTCTGTTTACTTTTTCAATCCCATTTAAAATCGCATATACCCTACGAAATGTCTTTTTTTAAAGGATTGAAGGGCCTGAGTTCAATCATTGCACATAGCTCATTACTCTGGTGAACGGTATAATTTTATTTTACCCTACCCTCTCCTTCCACAATTCCTGCAAAATTATGTAGAATTATGCACAGATCTCAAAACAGTTAGTTAATTGAACCAAAAAATTTCAAGGCAAAAATGGGCAAGAATTTAATTTAATAGTTTCAAGTATGGACAAAATAATTTTTAAAAAAATTCTAAACCATAAATTATTGCTGTCTTATGTTATGTATTTCAGCATCAAGAAGCAAGGTAGAACCTTATTAAAATCCAATTTGGTCTGGTTAATGTAAAGCACATTTCAGAAATTGATAATGCAACAGCATTAAGGACAATGCATCAATCACATTTTGCAACTTTCCCACCAGAGGCTTAATATTTCTTGTGGTTTCAGCATTTAAACCAATTTTGGAAAAATCTGAAATTCTGCCTAAAAATAGAAGCCAGTTTCACAAGCTCCTCTTAAAAAAGGTGGAAAATGAGCCCCCAAATTTAATTATTTTCAAAAAGTTCTGCATGATTTTAAATTTTAAGGTAATGGTCTTAAATATAAGAACAAGGTAGATTTTGGGCCCTTGATGAATTAGCAGTCAATGCCACAAGAAGATGACTCAAATAGATAGCCATGTTTCCAATGGATGTAATAAATGGGTGGCATGCAGGAGCTTAATACTGGAGTCTGGGACGCTATCTGTTGTTGCAGTCGTCTGAGTGATGGATTTAATATTTATTACATCACATGCACCCAGATGTGGCAGTGGCAGATCTCCAAAGCTGATTTCTATGTCAATGTGACCCAGAGCCTTGGGACACCTCCTGACATGAGAGGCGCTGTACAAATGTAATTTGTTGTTGTTGTTGGATGAAGCTGGTCCACTGCATTGGAATTTTGGTTTGAAATTGAGAAAACTCGATTGTTATTTGGCAAGATACCGACCATCTTTTTAAACACCTCAGTGGTCAGTATCCCAAAAGCCAAGACTTGAACACAGTGATCTAGGGTCCAAGGCAATTCAACGTGTCCAGTCCCTGGCCCATCCCAAGTGCATTTGGTGAGACTAACGCTAAATATATTCACTAAACTGACCCAGACCGATATGCTGGATATAAAGTGAAATTCTGATATACATTACGATCACTAAAATTTCATCTAGACACAGCCTTTACAAAAGTGCCAATATGCTTTAAGAAAACTGGCATCTGAACAGCAAAGAACTGAAATACAACCAAAGAAACGGACATGAATATGGATCACTCCAAACGTAAATAAATGGACTCGGGAATAAAATAAAATACTCCAATCTCTCATAACTCAGTAGTCATTTCTCCATTAATCTATGATAAAAAGTTTGTTGTCAAGAAAATACAAGAGAATTAACTTTTCTTTCAAACTCCACCCACCCCCACCCGCCCACCACCAAAAAAAACATAAATTGGGACTCATTTTAGATCTGATAATAATTATTCAGGATAATTCCCTGCACACATGTTCTAATTGCAGAAATACGGTACTAGTAATCCGCAACACTGAATTAAGTGTTCATAAGCATTTATCACATTTTAATGGAGCCACTTTGATGCTATAAATACACTAGTAATCTGGTCAATGCTACTTTGAAGAGCACCACAATAAATATATGAAGACTAAGCAAATAGTAATGATTCTAAGTTACTTCTCAATCTCACTATACGTACCTTTCACATCTTCATCTTCAATGATGGTGTTCGTGCTCTCTGTAGATTCCTATAGAGAAAAGCAAACCTCATTTCACCAGTACAATATGAAACTATGCGTCCATGAATAAGAATTCATCAATTTTCTGTGTGAACTTAAAAAGCTGAGGCCACAAATACAATATGCAAGGTGAAGATTTGTGCAGCATTTTAATATATAAATTCTGTGGCCTTAAATTGCGGGCAGTTATTCACTCAAAACAATTTTTATTTAAATGAAAGCATCCAATCATAAAAATGTAAACAAATCTTAATGAAACATGGACAAAGTAAAACTAATGTGTACTGATGTAGCTTCATTAACCAATGAATATTATTGTATAGACACACAATGCAACTAAAGCAAAGTTTTATCTTTCAACATCAACAACAACAAGATTCCATTTATAAAGCGCCTTTCACGTCAGGAGGACGTCCCAAGGCGCTGCACAGTTGGGTCATGACCCGAGCAGGGGGGAAATGGTCAGGGTGAGGGGAGGGAAGGGAGGGAGCGAGGAGGGGGGAAATGGTCAGGGTGAGGGGAGGGAAGGGAGGGAGCGAGGAGGGGGAAGAGAGTCGAGAGGGGAGCTGAAGGCACGGTCAAACTTTCAGCAAAGTTTATACAATCTGATCTAGTACTGTAATATATAAAAGTGCGCTAGTGTTACTCAAGTGTTTTAAATTATACAGTAGTATTCTGAGCAAAGTACAGTTGTATAAAATACATTATAACACAGACAAAGAAGGGCATCATTGTTTCCTGGGATGCAGCATACAATCAGTAAAATGACAGTGGACACATACATTTTATGCATTCACGTGTTATGACCTTTTTCACTCACTGCTATTGAACAACTGGGAGAAAGTAATTTGCAGCAAACAGACGTACTTTCAAGCAAAAGACCACATGACTCCCAACGCAATCATAAACAAAAAACACCTTTATTGCCCTGTTGCACCTCAGGTATAACATAAAACATGCACTGAAAATATAACTGAAAACATAATTTTGTTTGAAGCCTGGATTATGATCAGAAAGCAATTGAATGGGACAAGTACCAGGTGGAACCACAAACTGCAAAAACACTCATTCTGCATTTCAACCCAAGCTGGCACAAGACACTGGACAAGATAACCAACACTGCATGCTGTATTGGCACTTTACGAAATCACCAGTTAACAAAGAAAAATACACAGAATACCAGAAGCTTGCTGAATACACCATAAAACACCCTCAGCCAAACACAAGGCCACAAAACACTGAAATGGAGAGTAGACGAAAGAAATTCGAAAAACGTAACACAGAATGCTACGATATTTCTGATAGTAGATTGTGTATATTTTTTTCCTTGGTTGGTACATTCTGCAGATTAGTGCTAGGCCTGCTGGCGAAACAATTTGTGTGATGCTTAAACTGGTGAACATATCTTGTAATACCTTATTTCCATCAGCAGGATTGTGGATTACAGTAGTTTGGGGCTCCTGAGCAAGATAAAAGAAAACTCATTGGTCAAGCTTATCCTTCGTCGTCAAAGTGTGAACGAGCCAGCTACAAGGATGATGAGGCTAAAAAGCAATGTCATGATGACCAAAAACAAATGATGTTTAAAAAATACATAAAATCAGGGATGGATCTAACACAACCAGCAACTCCTATCTGGACATCCTGTAACAAAACCTCCATCTCCTACAGTCATGGCATGCAGTTTCTCTAGGTGCATAGCAGCATTTCTGTTTGCTAGCTCCCTGATGTCAGTAGCCTATGCTACTGAATTTGGAGCAGGTCACATTTTGGTGCTGTTGCTGGCATCGCCAGGAGAACTAAAAACAACATGCGGGAAGGCACAGAGACCTTCCACTACAACATGCAGACTAGCAACTACCACCGTGTTCAGTGTCACAGCAACTACTGGTTAAAAATAAAAATGCACGCTGCCTACACAGATGGATTCCCCACAAAACAGAACAGAGACACATGACGAGCTCTCACATGGTAACCCCCTCAGAAAGCAAAAAACAAAACAACGGAGTTGAGGTATACCAGTGCTGGGGTAGGTACGGGTTCTTTTGGGCTGGTTACAACGTTGGCTTTGTTGTTAACCTGTGGGTATGTAAAAAAACATAGAAAATGCATAAGCCTCAATTTATTGTTGCAAAACAGGTTAAGACCGACCATGAATGAATCTCTTCTGATTGATGGATTGTCTACAGTCTGTCTTATGATCTAAACCTATTTGACTGTTTGCAAGTCATGTACAGTTTACAGAACTAGGAAATAAATGCATTGGTTACAATACACCATTTGGAACTGAGCCAATATACGAATTAGAAAAGATTACGACACAGTAAACACACGTTACGAGCAGTTTGTTTAAAAAAAGGAGTTTGTGCATTTTGTCTCCAGTTAAGCTAATCTAATTGATTCTGTGAAGATGCTTGAAAATTATAAAAGAATTGGAAATACATGAAGTTTGAATTCGTGATCGTGATTGAAGCTTGTTGGTAATACAACAGCCAAGCAATTTTGTATTAGTTATGACTGTGCTCTGAAATATGTCATTGGCAGTAAATATTGAACATAACCAACTATTATGTATAATCACTTTCTATGCAAGGATTTGGTACCAATATGAAGCAACTGTCAAGAGATTTATTTCTATAGGAAGGAAATCTTAAACAGATTTATGTAAAGTTATATACCTATGGGACGACTTTGAATGTATTCTACATTCTTTTAAACATTGGCAAATGTATTCAGTAAGCAATATATTATCAGAATTACAATTCCATGAAAACACACCACATAAGATATAATTCATTCTACATTCGGTAAGCATTGATTTAATTGAAAAGCCAAAGCCTTTATGGCTGTTTAATTTGTAACAGATGCTTTATGTTAGCCAACTAATGAGTATTTATCCTTTAATGATGCAGATCACAAATTCAATGATACTTTATTTTTGAAATGTTAACCCTAAAGACTCAGCATCTTGAAAGTAAATTCTCTTACAAGAGATCTGAATTGTGTTAGAAATAGCATGCGTGTTGCAGATTATGGCACTGAGATCTAAATATTATCTAATAATGCTCGAAGGACTGAATGTCTGACTCCTGTTCCTGTGTTAAGTTGATGAAACACAGCTTTGAGGACATTTCCAGCATGAACCTAAAATAACTGGCTACAGGTAATTTCTCACCTGCAGCCCCAGCAGGGCAATCACATCTGAAGAAGAATTTATCCATAGGGCAGTAAAGCATTTGTCTCCTTGTTTCATGTTGCTTTAGACAGATACACACCTACTTTGTGTACCAACATCTTGTATATTTGTTCAGCTTGCTCAGATTTAAAATATAAGCATGGTTAGTTCCAAACACTCTTGACACAGAATGTTATTTTCCAAAAAGAAAACTCAAAGTACAAATGCAAACAGCTAAAATTACCACCCAAACTCTCTGTTGTATTAGCTTGAAAAAGACAGAATTAATTCTAGACCACATTGATAGGATGGCATGCAAAGTGATTACCTTTCATGATTACATAGGATTGAAGGAAGAAACACCTAGGAAAAGTAACAGCAAGTCCCACTTTTCAATCAAAAGCAAAGATTTTTTAAAATTAAGGTCGGCATATGTTAGATATGTGCACGTCCACTTCTCTAAATCATTTTGCAACACTACTTTCTGCAAAGCAACTGCATACATTTTGAGAACATGGAAACAGAAATTTGCTTCCATAGGATTTCACAAACAGGAATTCTCAAACATTACCATGTTTGGTTTCTTCATTCGGATTTCTCTAACTTTTAAATATCAATGGGACAGCTTTCCCTTGGCCTTGTACCAAATGCAGTCAGGAGGGTGGAACAGATGAACTGTTTCTGCACCTTTGCTATTGTTCCTCTGAACAAAATACTCGCATGTGAAGAAGCAGGTTCTGAGCATGGCTTCCTTTCAAATTCAATTTCCCACCTTGGGGAAGCTGTTTGCATTTTAGCAATATGGGATATTCTCTCATCAATCCACTGCTTTGGATGTTTGTGCTCTAACACAATGCCCTACCATACCACTCATGGTTTATTCATTCAGTTGAGAAAATCCTTCAATATTGTATATATTAACATCAAGGAGTTTTCTCAGTCCCATTTAAAAATCCTCTAGCCATATTGTCAAAGGATATGCTTTCACGGTAATTAAAGTCTCACTGAGAGCTAGAGAAATAATATCATCAAAACTTCAAAATGTGTGCTTCTAAAAGGCGAGATAACATATTTATATTGCACATAAATAAACAGATTATGAATCATTCAAAAGTCTAAAACCAATGTTAAATCTTTTTCTTAATTCTTAATAATCGAAGGTTGACGGTCTCTCTTATTTCCAAGAGACCATCATAGAATGTACTCTTATTGGTGTACAAATGTAAGGCATATGAGTTAATCTCAAACAAAATAGAAGTTGCATTGGTTTAATGGAAGGATAGACTATTTATTGAACCATAAGAGCAAAATAGAATAAATTAACAAAACAAGTATATGATGCATACCACTTTATAATTCTTAGAAAAAAATAGTTGACATACAGACAGAACAATGATTCTTTTTAAACACTTCATTTACTCAAATTCCTTTCCTAAGTGTTCAAATTCCTCTCCTTTCCTGTACAATAATGGTTTAGAAAGTTAGCCTTCTAACCCTTCCCCCCCACCATGCTCCAAAAATATAGCCCAAATATTCTCCTACAGAGAGTATTCAGAACTGGAATAATGTAGCACTGTTTGGCAACTATAGAGAAAAAACAGACCAAATCCTCACAAAAGGAATTCATGAAAATAACTTGCTCTGGCCAAGGTTCATAATCCATGTCTACTGTACTCTTCCCTTCAAGGCCTATTTCAAGACCATCCTTTTCAACTGTGCCTTCAGTCATCTTCCTTCCCCACGCCCTTTCCGAACCCAACCCGCAGCTCGGATGCAAACCCCTCATTGTGCAGCACCTTGGGATGTCCTCCCTTCGTGAAAGATAATAATAATCCTTGCATTTGATATAGCGCTTTTCACGTCGGGAGGACATCCCAAAGCGCTTCACAGAACACACTGTAAAGTGAATTGACTGTATATTTGTGGGCGAACGCGGCAGCCAATTGCGCACAGCAATGTCCCACAAACAGTCGTAGATTGAAAATGACCAATTTTTATTATTGATTTTGGTTTTGGAGGGATTATTATTAGGCTCTGTGTGGAGTAAGGAAACTTGCCCAAGGTTTCGCCCTCTGCCTGGAATTGAACTCAGGTCTCTCGCTTGCAAAGCGAGTGCTCTAACCACTGAGCTACAGGACTCCAAGATGCTATACAAATGCAATTTACTGTTGTTGTTCAATGTTGGAGATGTAGAAACTCACAGTCCAACCTCAAGATTGTTAGCAGCAGCACAGGATTCGTTGGTGTTTAACACAGGTCTGTACAACTATGCCAGAAAATGGAATTGCTGTAACAGCAGTTCAACCCAAAGTAGCCACACAAAAAAAATTAACATTACTTCATAAATAATGTTTTCCTCTTAAATTCCCAGAATGTGCAATGATACAGAATTCTTTTCCTTGCAAGATTTTAACACACAGCACCACCCTTTCCAGAACCAGGATTTAAACTATAATTATGTAGAATTTTTCCAAATCTTCACTCTTGGCAACCACTTGACTAATTTGGAGAGTTTGCTTCTGGTAAATGATTTCTCCAGTTGTACCACCCAAGCAGCATCACAAAGCAATGACATTACCCTTTCACAATGTGATTCATCATTTTGAACATATAGTGAAAAGAACCACTATTTTTAATTATCCTATCCACCAGCCCCCTACATTGTCATTTAGACAGTGCTTTCTTGCAGACGTAGGAAGTACACACAAGAAGCAAATTGTTTTAAGCTAGTCAGAAAGATGTATTTTTATGTAACATCAGTGTGAAATCTATATTTACCTAGATTAAGAGACTTTTAAAAAAAAAAGAAATACCAGGTGAATAATGCAATTTTGTAACTGATTCAATATGATAATTATCACATCAAATTTGTTAAAAACATGAGAATTTCAGATTATAATTATCAATCGAGCTCAGGTGGGAATACTCTTTTGCCTACCACACCTGCTGGCACCTTTGTTCCTGCCAGCCATCATCCCCATTGCTGCTTCTAAATGTGAAGAATGGCATTTTTCACTGCCACTTCTCACTGCCTCCTTTTCTTTTCACTGCCAGTTTAACCTCAAAGTCCTGACTCCAGTTTCTCTGAACACGCTAATCAGAACACGCTGAACACACTTCATCACTTGTTCACACTGGGCACCCCAAATTCTTGTTAGGCAGAGAAGATCCAAGCACTCACAAAGAGATGGACTCACTAAGTATTCTCTTAATATGAGTACAATTAATGTATAATGGACTCTGGGATGTTCGATCAGATACTCATACTAGACTGGAGATAACACAACACTAATAACCGTCATGGTTCAGGCCACCAGCTTTTCAAGATCTCCGTGAAAGTTAAAGTCAGGAGTGGTTAAACATTAGCTCTATAATGTGAATTTCGCCTAACATGAAAGTTTTATGAAGATCTTAGTACAGCAGCTGCAATGCAGAGGTTTGTGCCATGGTACCCATCTCTTGAGAAATCAAACACAACTGCACTATATATGTGATCCCTAGTTTTGCTTCATTGAAGTATAAGGCAGCTTGTGTAACAATACTTCATAATGTGCTTAAACAAGGATACAAATAATAAAAACTATTTACATTTATATCAAGACTTTCACATTAAAGAGGATGAATCAAAGTGCGTCAGGCAGATGGCTGGGCACCTAAAGTGTCAAACTACTTTGCCACCGATTATGCTTACTCGTGAGACAAGGTTGAATGAAGTTCTGATAGGAATTCTGAATCATATTCCAAGACATATTTTAAACTGACATTATATTCTCATTGTGTACGATCAACTACGACTTGCATTTATAGAATGCCATCCAGGTAGAATAAAGTCTTGGAGCATTTCACAGGGTAAGTGTCAGACACTGAGGCAGGAAATACGGTGAAGGGAGAGTTGACCATGCGCACGGTGAGACAGAAGGGAGCTCCAGAGATTGGGCATGTAGTTGCTGAAGGCTCAGTCTCGGCTGGTGGGGCAGAGGGGTTGGGGGAGGCTCAACAGGCCTGAGTTAGCTAAGCAGAGTGAGTGAGCAAGTGGGGTAGTGGAAGATAATAACAATAATAATAACAGATAGGGAGGTGATAGGACATGAATGGATTTATAGGTGAGAGTAAAGACCATGAAATAGATCTGTTGGGAGCCAGGAGAACATTGTGAGGACTAGGATGATGTGCAAATGGACATTATAATGTAGTTTAAAAAAGCACCTACCAATGTCAAAAACGTTACCAGATCAGATATATACAGAGAATAAAATCCACAGCTTAAGCAATCATTAAAAGACGTTGTTAGTGTAACAAACGTAACGAGTTCTCTTAAGACTTTAGTAGCACAACAGACTTCATTGATTGCCCGCTGTAAATAAAGATAACACAAGTCAAGGACATGATAAAATCAAATCATCCTCAGTTGGAAATGGGAAAGAAAAGCTTGAGTAGTTCAAGTGGAAATTAATGTAATATTCTTTTCAGTAAAGGCAGTCGGTCACAGATCGTGCAGTTATTAGTTTCTGAATCAATTATATTGGTGCAAAAAAGGATGCACAGTCATAATTCTGCCAATCGGAATTAAATTGGGAATACATTTAATAGGGAAGTAATTCCATACTGCAAAGGCTGTAAATACTGGGTCAACTGCAATATTTGAGACAAAAAAAGTTGAATATTTGGTAGGCAGGGGGACTCAAGGAATATGGCAAAAGGGTAGGAAAATGGTATTAAGTTGCAGTCCAGCCATGATGTGTACAAAAACAAATTATACACATCTAGCAAATGCAGATGTAAAGGTTGATATATGTATCCATATTGATAGACAGGTATGTACAACTATAGTTATCTTCCTTATACCAAGGCAGAAGTGAAGATTTAGACGAGGGTCAGTGATTTATTTATGTTACTCTCTTTCAGCCATTACACTTTGCTGTTTATGATGTACATTAAGACGTTTTGACTGTGTGGTAAGGTGCTATATCAAATGCAATATCTCTCATAAAACAGCAAAAGGTCAATTATGTTGGAAAGGATGAGGAAAGTAGAAATTACACATATACTCATGGATTTGGAAACATAATGAGCTGCTGTTCCATCAAATGCAGGGTCACCGGCAGGATTGTCAACTAAGCTATAGATATTGACAGTTTAGACCTTAGCCTTGAACCACAGAAAAACAAATGTTGGCTGGACCGATATTGACCTCTAATTCAGGTACCTTTTCCTCTCCAGTCTGTTCTGAGGAGTCCAAATCCACACGTCTGTGACAGGCACAGCGGAGACTGCTCGCTAGGTGATACAGCAGTCTCAAAATGGATAGTATTGATCAAAGGGAGTGTGTGCATGTGTGTGTGTGTGGGTGAGTGCATCCGTGAGTGAGTGAGTGAGTGAGTGAGAGATAGAATTTATATTTTCTCGTGAATAAAGAATTAGATTGCACTGATGTCTGGGGTAAAGCTTGTGACAAACCCAATCCAACAAATAAAGCTGGCAGGGGAATATGATCTAGGGCAATTAATTATCCAAAGTCCTAGGCATTGCTTATGCCAACATGGACCTTCAAGAAGGAAATGATTTATTCATGAAATCAGTTGCTTTCTCATCTTCCAATATCTTACATCAACTTCTCAAAGTGTTGTGAAAAAAGCTGGATTTGTAGTCAAAGAGCAAGAGTACAGTCCTTTATTTTAAGACCAGGTGAGGTTCCAACTACAAAATATTTTCTTCTTCCTGGTTATCTCTGAAAAAAACTCACGTAACCCAAATGTGAATTGGGACAAATGTGTGACTAGTAATAATAATAATATCCTTGCATTTGATATAGCGCCTTATTACATCTTTTAGATGTCTCAAAGCACGTCACAGAATATACTGTAAAATTAGTGATTGTATGTTTTGTGGGTGAAACGCGGTAGGCAATTGCACACAGCCGTGTCCCACAAACAGTCATGGATTAAGTGACCAAATTATTATATTTTTTAATTTTGAAGGGATTATTACCCATGGAAAAGCGATCTGCCAATTGACTAATACTTGGTTCCTACTTACTGCTAGATAAACAGAGGTGTATGGAGTAAGGAAACATGCCCAACATTTCTCCCTGCCGGGAATCAAACCACAAAGCTACAGGGCTCCACAGTTCTGAGGAGTTGTAGTTGTCTGCTCTCTCTCCCTCCCTCCCTCCCTCCTCCCCAAATTCGCTCGCTTCCTTCCCTTGATAAAAGTCCGTATGATGTCCTACCTCTTTGACCGCGCTTTCAGTCACCTCTTCCCTCCCTATCCCCTTTAGCTCCCACCCCCAGCTCGAATGCCCAGCCAGCAGTGTTAAGCGCTTGAGTTGTCCTCCTGACATGAAACGTTCTGTATAAATGTAAATTGTATTGTACGGCACCTTTGATTATCACAGTAGAAATGTTTATAACTGAATATTAATTTTAGACCGACAGGAAATCTAGATGGATGAGACAACAAGGCGAATAATGATACAGTATTGACCGTTACATACATAATTCAATGGAACTTCCAGGTAAGAGGCTTATATAACTCATCCCTTAAACCAACTAGTGTGAACAATCTTATTCTGTACCTTTCCTTAAGGAATCCGAGCTATCTGAAAACTACATCAAGATGCAAGAATTTACTTTGCAAAAGCACATTGTTTCGGACACCAACCTTATGTGAGAGTATGTGAACCTGCACGTCCTCCTCATTAGTGATAAAACAAGACTAAGAACAAAATACTGTGGCCAAACAAAACCAAAGTATTAGAAGGAAGGGTTACATCACTGCATGTGGTTTCATTAAATTCCAACCTACCTTAACGCCATCGGTCTTCTTGTTGAGCAAGCTCTTTGCTGCTGTAAATGGATAACAAAAATCTAAATTAGACCTATCATTTCCCACAACAAAGTGAGCTTTTGGCAAAGCCAGTGCTTAACTCACAGCAACAGGAAAGAAAATGCTGCAGGCAAAATTTTATTTTGCTGAAAGCAATCTTGGTTAGGCAGAATAAACCTCAGGCAAATTTGTAGAAGGCAGGCTTCAGACATGGGTTCAAATGCAACACTTGAAGAGCATTTATTCTCGAAATAACTATCTTTTAAACGGTACGTACCACATATATATGTCTGAATGCAATACACGGGTCAAAACATGTCAAAACGATCACAAGTTCATATACAAAACTCATTGCATTAAGTAAAAAGTTTCATACGGATATTCTTGTGTGCGGTGACCATGAAGTTACTCATCTTTTTCTCCTCTGTATCTGAACTTGACTCAGCACTCGATGAAGCACGCAGTGATATTGATGGATGTTTTCGCTTCAGATGGTTCACCAAATTTGATGTCCCGCTTTTTGTACCGCACATCTGCAAATGGCAGTGTTTGCAAACTGCCTTAAATTTCATACCAGTGGCGTTCTCTGGTACATCAAAGTTCTCAAATACAGCTGAGCGTTTCCGAGACATGTCACATTACAGTTTGAGTTAAACTGCGAGGCGAACAACTTCTATGTGTAAATAGACTGCAAATGCATTTGCATCTAAATGTGCTCGAGACCAAAGTTACCACATTTGCATTTTTTTCTGCCCAAAGAGGAAATGCCACATCGGCATCATGTACATTTGCATTTGGAGACAACACATCATTTGAATTTGCATTTAAATGCACTCGTTCATATTTGAACCCAAGCTGAATTTCTAATCAGTAAAGTTAGCTGTGTGAAAGTGGCAGCTGACTACTTTGGTTTTTAAAACATCTCTTTTTAATACTTCATATATATCATATACAAATAATTATCTACATGTCACGTTTTGGAATGAATACGGCCTATGAGACTTTGGAACGTGATAGGCAGTACATAAGCATTATGACGTATATACAAGTGTCTGTTGTCTCTGTGTTGTGACTAAATGACATCTGTCTCAAGCACATTTAAATGCAAATGCAAATTCAGATGTATTTGCATTTGGACCCAAGTCTGGCAGTCTTAAATTCATAAAGCAAGCAGGGATTATTGGTCAATCAGGCAGTGATTGCTTTGAGTTGCAAAAATGCCCAATTAGATGTTTAGGGTCTTACCTTACAGGGAACAAATTCCAAACAAAGTGGAGAAGGGAAAAAGGGAGGAACAAAATGAAACATGTTTATGATCATTTCAGTGACTTTAACATTATCTAAAACAAATGGTTTTCACGTCCCATGCACTTGAACCAAATTGGCACAATGGCTACCACTCCTAATTTATCATTTCACACAGTGCTCTCGAACAATGACATGCAGAACAATTACAAAACAAGGGGAATCAATAAAGATTGTGCTTGGTTGAATTGCTAGCTGAATTTCTAATAAGTAAAGTTAGTTGTGTAAAACCCTGTGTGTGGCTGCTTACTGATTTAGTTTAAAAAACCTCTTTGTAATGCTACATCTACCCAGGAGAAAATAAATTTCTTGCAGTCAGATGCTAACACTGATAAATAGATCCAAAAACAGGAATTCAGCAAGGTAGCAACATCTTACAACTCAAAACATTATCAATATTTAACTATAATATATTTAAATACAGCCTGTTTTGGGAAACAAACATTCTATTACCTAGTTAAAATGCGGTCCATTTTTCCTGAAAGACTATTTGCCTGAAATGCACATTTCACTCTGTATTATTTTACTTCATATTATAAACTACTTGTTTACATGTGCTGTAGGATATATTGCTAGACTCTCCCAAAATACATGTCGAAATTATTAATTAGTAATTCATATTGCAATATCAATACCTTCTTAGCGAATAACATTTAGCACAAACTTTAAAAGAAACTGCTTATTTTAAGCTAATTGAGTTGCAAAAAGTCAGAGGTAATAGTAGGATCCAAAATGTGATGCTTCTTAGCAGGAATCCTTAAAAATAGAATCTGAGCTGCACAAAAGGGGATTCTGTTTGGCAACTAGAAAGAAATATGTTACTGTAACTCACAGGGACTTTGATCCAATGTGAAGTGACCCCTGAATTTATAGGGAGATTGGTAGATCTGGGGAATATCCTCTTGTGGTGGTTGAGACTGTTTTGCACATACTCAATAGGAGTGTATCCAGAAACAAGAGCCCCTAATGCTTGTTTTGGCTGAGGTAAAATAAAGATTCTAATTTTTACTTGGTATGTGGGTTAATTCCTTATACCAAGAGGATCATTGACAAGAACCCTTCCCTTACTTGGGAGAAACGTTATAGGCCCGACCCACATTTCCGAAGTGAAGTGTCAGCGGGTGGCCGAGAATTCCAACAAGATTCTTTATTAAGGAATCCCATTAAGACACACTGCATAGCAGACCCCAATATAACTGTAATGAGGCAACATGCAAATCATTTGTCTTTCCTCCAGACATTTTAAGTAAAAAACTATTAAGAATGGTAAATTAACCTATTTTGCCTTATTCATACAGGTAACCTCGGTGTAACCGGAAGGATCTCCCAGCTAAATGTCTTTCAACAATAAATAAGCCTACATCTTGAAGAGACAGGAAGAGAGGGACGGCAAGAAAATCCAAGAAAAGCTGTAAAATAACGATGAAAAACATCCAAATCCGTTAGTCCTCACATGAATTATTCGATAAAGTTATGGACTCTGCTGCAGGTCACTGAGGCATGCTAGAAGTTATTTGCCATGCTACTTTGTATTTCTCAACCACTCTTGTTTGCATTGCATAATGCAAGCTGACAACCAAAATTATANTTTTTTTATCAAGAAAAGATCCACAGGCACAATTTGGATTAGCAAGATTTGGGCCACAAATGGTCAGATCAGCAGTTACTACTTGCTCTTGGTATCGGCAAAACAACAGAAAAGTGTTTTCGCAAGTCAAAACTGGTTAGGGACTGTAAGTTATCTCAGAACAGAAAACAAATGAATGCATTGTGGGGTTTCATGTGCTGGCCAGTTTTTCAATGTTGTCCAGAAATCTGCTGTGTGAGAACAGAGAACGAACCAGGTTGCACGTTACATTGGTCAGTTAGTGTGGCAACTATTTTCTGCCTTTGTTAAGACTCTATTCCAGTGGTGGCCAACCAATGGCCCAAGGGCAAACATGTCTCGTGGGGGCATCAAGAAACGGCCTGCCAAACATTTGCACTAGTCTAGGCAAGTCTGTGTTAAATCAATATTTTGTTTCCAGTAGCTATCGAGTAGTATTACATGGTGTGGTCATAAATCAAGAAATATTCAATCAAGAAAAATTAGCTAAACAAAAATGTTGGCTATCACTGTTTTATTTCATACATCTGCTGGGAAGTATTACAGTTGCGTTTGAGACTTATTCATTCAAAACTGTATTTAGGTAAGAAAGTAAGAACCTACTTTTTATGTGTAGCACCTTTCCAAGTTGGATCATCTCAAAGTATTTCACAGTTACTGTTAAGTATAGTGACTGTTTCGTAGGCACAAACAGCAGCCATCTTCACCAGCAAGGTCCCACAAAGAGTGATGTGACTAATTAATCTGGGGGATTGTTGGCCAGGATAAGTGAAGTGCTTCACTCAAATTAATTTAAATAGCAAAGACAGAAGGAGATTCACTAACAACTTTTAAGAGAGAAGTAGATGGGTATTTGGGGAGGACAGGATTGCAGTGCTATGGAGAGAAAGCGGGTCAGTGGGATTGAGTTGGATTGCTCTTTTAGGAGCTGGCACAGACGCGATGGGCCGAATGGCCTCTTTCTGTGCTGTACAATTCTATGATTCTATGAGAGCCAGAAGTGGCCCCTGTATAACTAAGTCATTATCCCAGACAAGCTTTATTTTTCTAATACTTTTCCTCCAGTCGCCAAGATGGCTTTTAATTTCTGAGCTAATTTGCCATTTGCTGAGCCTTAAGATTCTTTTAGCCTTGCATTTTCTATTTTAATGGCTTCTGAAAACCTAAGCAAATTATATCTATTGGCTAGCCCTTACCTACTGGTTTAGTTAACTCATAAAAGGAAACTACCAAGTTAGTGAGACTTCCGCTAAATACACGTGGACTCTTCAGATGATTAGCATCCTGTATACCACTCCTGTATACCACTCCCGAGAATTTTCTTACTGCACATATTTAGCAAGATAACTGGTCTAAAGATTGGGCAATATTTATTATCCTGAAATCCTCAGGACCAGATTCTACATTTATGAAACCATAAAACTAACTGTAAACAGGTTAAAGCCAAGTACCCAGGCTTTTCTTGTTAAATTTACTTTATACAAAGGAACTTGTCTCTCGTACCTCTAACAATAGCTATTTCATTTTTTAACATCCTTTGAATCTAACCACTTTGAACGTATCCTCATAATCAGGATTGATTACCAGATAGCTACATTTTGCAAATCAGCTGTAAGTTTCAATACCCATGGTTTAAATCTATCGTTTTTAAAAAAGAGATTACAAGAAATGTGGTGTCTTGAATTCAATAAATTGGGATCAGCAAGTCTAAATTAAAATTCACTGGTGATTCATATATAAAATATACTTGAAAGTCAGTTCAAACAAGTACGAGTCAGACCGAACATAAATACCAGGATTCATATTTTGACTACTGCAATTTAATTTGTGTGTACGTGCTGGATGGGGCAAGTATGCAAAGAGTATTACGTTACCGACCCAATGCAAACATTTGGTTTTTCTGTTCCTACAGAAAGAGCAGCAGCATCATCAGTGGCGTAACAAGACCCCAGAAGGGCCTGCAAGAACCTAAAATGTTGCTTACCTTTGTCTCCTCGTGTTCTCTCTCTCTCTGACATAACTCACATGTGAAATAACTATATCGAAATGGGGAGTGAGAGACCACGAGTCATTCCGCCACCAAAGGGTTGTATCATGGCACCACTTGCACCATTGTTGTTACACCACTGCATCATGATATCAAGGCACTTATGCAAAACCATGATGCAAATCTCCAACTTTGCAGTTGGTGACGTCATTCGCAGACATGGGGTCAACTTCCACATGTATGTGGATGACACCCAACTGTACCTCTCTGCCTCCACTCTTGACTCCAGGACCACTGCTGTCCTGACAGAATGTCTGTCAGACATCAAATCCTGGATGAGAGCTAACTTTCTACAGCTGAATGTCAACAAGACCAAAGCTCTCCTGATTGGCTCCCATCAGGGCCTCCACACCTCAGGCGCTGACAGCATCACCATCTACGGTTGCACACTCCACCTTACTAAGCCAGTCCGGAAACTTGGGGTCTTGTTTGACCCTCAACTATCCTTTCTACCCCACATCTGCACCATGACCCGCTCTGCCTTCCCCCACCTCCACAATGTCTCCCGGCTCTGCCACTGTCTCACATCATAGGCCACTGAAACCCTCATGCACGCTTTCATTATATCAAGACTCGACTATGCAAACTCACTGCTTGTTGGCCTCCCCAACTCTTCCCTCCACAGGCTGCAGATCATCCAGAACTCTGCAGCCCGTGTCCTCTCCCGCACCAAACCCCATGACCCTATTACCCCCATCCTCGCCCGACTCCACTGGTTTCCCATCACACAGAGGATACAGTTCAAGATCCTGGTCCTCACCTTCAAAGCCCTCCGCAGTCTTGCTCCCCCCTTCCTCTGTGACCTTCGAACCCCCTATCATCCTGCTCCCTCCCTCCGCTCAGCGGACTCTGGCCTGCTTCACGTCACCCACCTCGCTCGTCCCACTATTGGTGGGCAGGCCTTCTGCCACTCCGCCCCCGCACCCTGGAACTCCATCCCACAGACCCTCCACCCCGCCCTCTCCCTTGCCACTTTCAAGACCCATCTCAAGGTCCTCCTCTTCAACTGTGCTTTCGATCTCTCTGCTTCACCCCTGCCCTCCACCCTCCCTGACCCCGATCCCTTGGGTCCGCAACTCTGTCTGACCAGCCCCTTGGGACGTCCTCCCGACGTGAAAGGAGCTTCGCAAATGTAATTTTGTTGTTGTAGTTTCTCCATCCGACTCCCACCCCTCTGTCAATGTCAGGAGTTTTATTCCAAATTATGAATGGAATAAATTGCACACTGCTCAACTAGAAAGATGTAAATTCACAATGATCTGACACATTGGGTGAGAAAAAAAAACGTAGTTTACATCTAGGTCTACAATCATAGATAATATCCTCACACCATTGAGGGTCCCGAAAAATAATTGTAGGTTTGTGGCACCTTTTATTATATATGTATTAATATAAAACTAATTATACAAAGGTTTAAGCCAAGTCATTCAGATTTCTCTTGTTAATTTTAGTTTATACAGATCAATTCCATATTATGCCTTTTAAAAAAGCATTTTTTTAAAAAATGCATCTCCCCTTTCCATAAAATTCACTGTCGTAAAGTCACAAATCTAATCCAAGTAGTTACACTATTCCAAACAGAGGTTAAATGGCTTTGCAGAATTCAAAGCTATGTTATATCTCACATTATTCTGCAAGTGAAGCAGAGAAGATACTGTGTACCATCTCAGGTTTGGCTCTATGTGGTAAAGACTCCCATAGGAATTCCTTCAATCAGATGGTTTCAACTGAGGACTTTCCAGTGGAGGGACAGCAAGTAAGTTGGACAAATTGACGATTCCACTGGTAAGAAAATCTCCAACTGCAGACACAATATAATGGCTATCGACTCCACTGTTCTCATCTCACCGAAGTATAGTATGGAATCCTGCAGAGGCATTTTAATAACTTAATAATTAGAGCAAGATAGTGTATGCAGTTTCTTAAGAACCTGTTTATGGTTCTTAAGAAACTGCATACACTAGCACAACCTTGGTAAGCAATACCATCACAAACAGTCAGAGAAATGCGAAAAGTATCCCAAATAAATTATCTTTAAAAAAACGAGTCTGGGAAAACCCTCCAGGCATACATGTTAAGGTACTTTCTCCACACAGGCTCACAGCATCATGAATATTTTGTAGGTAGTTTGACTACATTTAAATAGATGTGTCATCTCATAACATAAATTTGAGTAAACCAAATGCTTTACAATGATGAAAGTTCCACAGCACGTTGTAACAAAACAAGTAAGAAAAGCCGGGGATTTGATAAACAAATGCTTTCTTTACTCAAAACGTTTTAAATCTCTGCATAAGTATTACATAGACTGTGCACTAGCATTACTTGATACGCACCTGAGAAGTTCCTTGTGGCCAACATAGTTGTGAGAATAGCACCCTGAAAAGGAATCAGGAACAACTTCAGAAAAATTAGCTCAAGTATACATCAGCAATGTTTATTTAGGCAACAAAACCAGAAACACAAATGACCTCTCAATATTCCAGTCTGGCAGGCTTATTTTAATTGGCTTTTCAGAGTTTACATGTTAAATCTTTGTACATTTTGTTCATTTTATATTTACAGGAGCAGGCCTTGATTTGTGAAGGTTACGACATTTTCTTCTGGTTAAATGATTAATTCATTTTAGAACCAGTCTACTTTGTGATTCGGGTGGATTTCAGGAACCACCCTATTAATGCCTAGGTATTAGTCTGGCTCAGATAGCAGCACTCTTGTCTCAGAGTCAAAATGTTGTGGGATGTTACCCCACATTAGGACTTTGAACTCTCGTACTCTAGGCTGATACTCTAACGCAGAGGAACACTGAAAAGAGAAGGAGTTTCTGCCTGTGTCCTGGGACAGCATTGCTCTCCAGTCTTAGCATAGGTGCAAGTCCTGAGACATTATAAATTCAAAGTATGTGGTTTGAACCTTCATCTTTCCGACTCAAAAGGTGAGAGTGCCACCAGCTGAGGCAGGCTGACAATAGAAACCTTTCAATAATAAACAGGAATCACACCCACATGTATTTCATTCACCATGTTTGCTAACTCCACCTACATCATGTACACGTTTACAACTTCCTCATTGAATATGCATTCCCATACTTATCCTTATGTGTGTTAAACATTGTTGGCCAGTGCTCAGACAGTCTGGTCGTAACTCATTATCAAGTAAAGGTGGAATTTGAGACTTAATCTCCCTGCACTTTGCCGTTAAGTGTCATCTCCAGCAGCTTCGTCATCAAACGATTTTCCATGTAGTTGAACATCAGTTGACTTCAAGATACCTCCATAACCATAACCCATAAAGCTCCCATCTCTCCTGAACACACTGTGCTCTTTTCCATGTCTGCTTAAAATGTGCTACAGGACTAATGGACTAATGGAAGAGAAACATAGAGCATGCCCTCATACCTCCTACCCTCACCATCGTTAAACTGCTTAATACCTCTCCCCATTTTGAGCTATTACAAGAAACATTTTTATCAAGATCAAATGATTGGTAATTAAACTTCTAATCTCATGTATAAAACAAGTTGCTAAATTTTCACAATTTTCTTTTATAACAACAATTTGTATTTATATAGCACCCCTCATGCAGGGTAGTGTTCCAGAGCACTTACCATTTTAAAACATAACATGGTATAAAACAGAAAAGAAATGGAGAAGTTGAAACAAATATCTTACCTTCAGCTTCCTTCTGGCATTGAATTTCTTCAAGCATTCCACAGTCTCCTGTCTGTGCATGCAAGAGGCAACAGTAGATCGTTGCTGAAAGATAAAATAAATGATAAGCTTTACTGTTCCCACAATAATTAAAGACTTACAGTGCAATAGTAACATTTTACAAATCATTGAAGACTAGCTTACTTTTCCAGACAGTTTTATAACCTTGTTGTGATCATTTCTAAAATGAGAGTTTTAAACATCGGAATACATTTAAAGACACCAGGATCTAAAATTTCCAATGGGATTCCTTAAAAATAAATCTAAGTGGAGTCTCCTTCTGGTAAAATGGAAACAGCTATTATCCCTTGGAACTGTACTCTGAAAGTAGATCATGCCAGTGTGATGTTCCTCCAGTTTCCTTCTTGAGAAAAACTATTACTGTCTTTAGTCCCAACTATTGCAAACCTTTTATTAATTCAAATAAATTAAAAACATCAATTGTCTAGAAAAATCACTGGGGAACGCTAATTTCAAAGTCAAAGTAATTATTGAGCAAAATGCCCTTTATGGTGGCAGACCAAATTCACAGGTAGACGTTTTGTTCATGAACAACAAAGAAAAATAAAATTTACTTTCTAAACTGTAACTTGGTTCAATAAAATGATGCATGATTCACAATTGTGCCTTCAGCTACATTTTTGCATTGACTTTTCTGCGGCTGGGTTGCTGAAAACAATCTCACTGCAAACTAATATTAGATCTTCAACATCAGATGCCCTCTATACATGCTTAGTATGTGGTTTCACAAGGCTAATATTCCATACATTCAAATGTGTTTTTACCATGGGAACAGACTTTCAAACACAAATAAAGAATGGGGCATTTTTAATTAACAGAAAGCAATTTTAGACATAAAACAATTTAGGAGGGACTTGCACAATTTTCCCAGGGACTTGCACAATTTCTACCACATAAACGAAACGCTCACAACCAACAACAACAAATTACATTTGTATAGCACCTTTCATGTCGGGAGGCACTGGAACCAAGCTCAGGACTGTGTAATAACGCAAGCCTGATCCATCATTCTGCATCCATGAAGCATTCTTTTATGAGATTTTAATACTAATAAAGGCAGAAGCTAATATTTTCAGTCTCCTGTTTTTCAAAACTCTATATCCCATGATGTTTGATCAGTAGTGCATGATCAGTAATAATCTGATAGTAATACATTGGGAAGAGAGAAGCACTGGGGCAAAAGAAAAGGCAGCAACTTACACAAATCCATGGATGTTTGAGGGCTTCTGTGGCTGTGATGCGCTTGGCAGGGTTGATGGTTAACATTTTATTGATGAGATCCTTGGCTTCTGGAGTCACCGTGTCCCACTCCGGGGATGGGAACTGCAAAACAGACCATGAAATGAGAGCTAACTTTATAGAGCTAACCAAACATGATGTGCCCAAAACCTTTACAATTTACATTAGTGTAATGTATGTCTGGGGACAGTTATTCAGCTTAGTACTGAATATGAGGAAAGCCATATCACTGGATAAGGAAATTCTGTTCTGAGCTTTGGAGAACCAGCACCATTCAGTTAGGTGACCAGACAGTGTTTGCAGAAATGACATTGTGAGGGTGGTAGTGACACATGAGCAGATGATGAAATATTACAGGGAAGAACAAGCTTTTTCTAAATGAGAGCAAAATATCATTATTACAGATATCAAATGGGTTTCAAGGATAAAAGGAGATAGATATCAAGTACAGCGGAAAATATTTCTGGTGTTGCTGGGTCGTGAGAATGTAATCTGGGGGGGGGGGGAAATTGCCAGGTTAGAAGCATGCAGGACGTGGAATCAGCCATTTTAACATTTTTATTTAATTCTTGATGTAATGGGGTTATTTTTTTTTAAAAATCATTAAAAGTTCAATGCAGTAATTATCAAACCTATCATGAAACACTGCATTTTTCACATGATATTTTACAGGAAACTAGTTTTATTTTGATTTTCCCCTCAATGGATTAATCCATAATTAGCTGGATTATAAGTGATCCATGGAAAAAATGGGTTTGATAATTTGGATGCATGTGTTTGTTCCACACCATGATAACGACAGCATAAGCAATCTGAAAAACACACACGTGTATAAAGAAGTCTGCCAGAAACTGTCCCAATGGATCAATGCTTAAATATATCCAGGAAACCTAGTAATTCGATGCAACATTTGCAGCAGGCAAGAAAAGCAGTTAATGGCCTCAAGAGCCTTCTTGCAAAATTAGTTAACAGTAAAAAGGATACAAGAGACACTTGGATGAAGAGGGCACCCTGTGGATCAAATGATCCCATCCTTGCAAAATACCCACCCTTTTGTCCTCCCATTATAGCATTAGGCTTTTGTTTAAAAAAAATGATTCCAGCATTCTCACCACAACCATCCATCCTGGTAGCCTGTTTCAGTCGTTAATTCCCTTCTGGATAAATAAATATTTCTTGGTTTCTGTCTAAAAATTGTCCTTTGCAACCCTGTTGTTGTTGCTGTGCCATCTTGGTGAAAGCATTGTTCTGAATCAATTTCTCAAACTCATTTAAAATGTTGTTGTCTTTCCAAGGATCCCTCTAAGATGTCTATCTTCAAGATTGATTAGTCTATCTTATCTGATCATTGTACACACATAGCACGGATGTTCTGGGGTATCCTGATGTATAATGATATTTCTGCAGAAGCCAAATATATCACATCAGGAGCCAGGAAATTAAGGCCAAACAGACTCTTACCAAAAGTACAGATTGAAGTGGCAGAGTAAACTCCCCCCACCCAGACTCATTGTGCGGATGAATAAACAATTTCTAGTGATTTGGCATTTGGTGTTAAATCAAAAAAAGATGATGGCAAAAGCCATTGACATTAAGTCTGACAAAAAAGCAGACCCCTGATTTATCAGTGCTGGACTGGCCTGTTTAGCAGCTGGTATATTTATAGAACACAGGCACACCAGTAGATGAACACGGACAGACGAAAGGTGAGATAGAGCAGATTAATCATTCTTCATTTTGTGGAGGCAGTATCTCCTGGATTAATATCCTAAGGCCCATCTTCTGTGTAATATTGCACGATATTAATCTCACATTCACTGTCAAACACCTTTTGTAGATATGGCACCAAAGGTTATGTTCACTTCAATTAGATGAATGGTGTTCCATCAATTTGAGCCAGATGTCACTCTTGCTTCTGGAAATCCTCATGTTAACAAGATGTCTTTAGTAGATTTCCTATCTAAGCAAAGCATTTTATTGCTTGCACTGTTTACAAGATTGATGGGATGGTGACATTACACAGTTGCTCAATTATCATGAGCTTTGGTGTAGATGTGATCACACCACTAGTCAAAGGCAGCAGGTGCAGAGAAAGCTCAATTGCAGCTCAGGAACTGATGAGAGGGAAACAAATGAAACATATACTTGTGTCAATCAGCACAACATGGAAATATATCTTGTCATTTATTGAGCAATGCACTCAGCAAGAATTACATTTCTAATGTATGTCACTAACATTTCCCAAATCCAACAAAGACCTAGCAGGGTGTAGAGAACTCACTTACATCATACGCACCAGCCTTGATCTGCTGGTATAACCTGTGCTGATCTTCATCCCAAAATGGAGGATAACCAACCAGCAGTATGTACAGAATAACCCCTGTACAGATGAAAGAAAGCATCAACAAGAATGTTAACATTTATTAAGTAACCCAGAGTGCACTAAAAGCAATAATCAGTAGGACTAAGAGCTCAAGCTCAGTAATTAAATGGGTTATTTGTCCTATACACAGTCCATTGACCCTCAAACAACCAATACAGCTTTGATAAGTGTCAATGCATTTGTCCAGTTAAGACCTCCCTTTCCATCAGTGGTTTGTCTTGCAGTTTGAGGCTATGTCAAATGAACCCAACTGCTTTCAGATGTTCTCCCAACGTGAAAGGTTCCAAACATAAATTTGTACTGTATTGTGTATGTCTACTCAATGATAAGCCAGTCAACTGGTCAACTATTAACAGTGTCTTGGATTATACACCAGATACATATCCTTGGAACCAATTCAAACATGGGGATTCCCCTCATACTACCCAATCCAAGGAAGTTAATTTCATTGACCTGGGAGAAGTGAGGAGCTGACAAGGCAAAAGCTCTTAAATGCTAACAGACTATTTCTCCCATTCACCCCGAATCATGAGATGAACAGATGTGCAATGAATGAGAAAGGACATAATTTTCCAAAACAGATATACCTCTTCTTTTTAACATTGAAAAAAAATGATCAGCCATTTTGTGAATTAAATGGTTATTGATATTTCCAATCGGGAATCACAGTTATCACAGAAAAATAAAATAAACCTTGCTTTTGCTATAATGCCGCTCACATTGATAGGATATCACACAATATGCTGTAAAGTGTATTGACTTTTTGAACGCAGAATAGTTGCACGCCATCAGTGTTCACAAATAAAATTACTCTCGGGTGGAGGGGGGGCATAACTATAGAACACATTTCAGTGGTTTCTCTCAGGAAATTGAATGTCAGTAGAGTTCCATATTTTATTATGTATAATGTTCGAATTGTAACCATCCACAGTAATATTTAACAGTACAAAACAAAGTGATTTTTGTAAAGATAAAAAAAATTGCTATATAGAATAAGAATGTAACCAAAACTTACCACAAGCCCACATGTCCACAGGTTTTCCATATGGATCTTTTCTCAACACTTCAGGAGAAAGGTACCCTGGTGTACCGGCAAAACCTGTGAAGGATGAGTTTAATGAAAAATAAAGCTAAGGAACAGAACCAATATCAGTCACCAAATTGTTAACTGTGACTTAATTTGTCCAACCCACTCAATATTTTGTTTAAATTGCAGCACCACATTCCTCACAAGGGATCAGTTTGCTTATCATCCTTGCTTGCTCTCATAGATAAGTGTGGTGGCTTTCTGAATAAGCCACAAATTTGGAATCTAAAGCAATCCAAGGCTACTTCACACTGTACTTTGAACCACTAAGTTAGTCATTTCAAGTCCCAGCAAAGATCATGTTTATTTTTCTGGTATTACATATCATTTATAAATACGCATTAATTTGTGACACATGTGAGCTAGGGAGAAAAGACTCTTTCTGATGAGTTGGATTGGCCAATTGATCTCTGAAAGTTCAGTCAGGAGAGCCCAATCTGTCGGAGGAGGTGCTGCCACCCAGAGGCTGTTTAGTGTTTTTTTAAAAAAGAAGAAATGTCACAAAGTTCCCCCTAATTATACAGATCATTCCAATTTTCATATGTGATGAACATAATATAGTAGCTATTTTTAAAAAAAAACATATTGTTAACAGAACTTTGACTAGTGAAATCAGGCCTTTCTATTTAACCAAACAGAAACTATTTTCACGACTTACTCACCAAACCAAGCTTGCTGGTCTCCTTGAACTTCAATTGCCAACCCAAAATCTGCCAGCTTCACTGCCGCTCCCTTCATTTTACTGGCTAGAAGCAAATTCTCTGGCTTCATTTTAATGAGAAAAAAATCGGTTCAGCAGATATTCACCATATATTAGATGTTTGGTTTACCCTTAAATAAGCTTTTGTTTTCCTCATGTTAATATCACTCAACAATTCTAGAGATTTTTAAAAAATCAATGAATCAACTGTACTGAATAGTTAGTTAAAGATCACCAAACGAGAATCTTATTTACATCCCAGAGCACCAGGCCTACATGAGCAGTTGTTCTTGTAAGGCTCCAAACAACAAGGGTGTTGTTCATTTCTTAAATAGTAACTTATTTACATACAGCAGAGATTGATACATAAGAGGTTGAGTCATTATTAAAATGTTAATTTAAATTGTTATCAACTAGAGTGATTTCCAATTTAGCAGTGAACACCCATTTAAAACACATCAATTTCAAATAAAATTCTGTAATTAAGGAATCTGAAGCATATCTAACGAACTCAAGATTATTCCCTCTGATGCAATCTGCTTTCGCAGCGAGTTCTTGTGTTTCAGAATTACGTACTTCCAGTTTTTGGAAGTAGTGCCCATTCATATTCCTGTTTAATGAATCCAGTTTGAAATCACTACATTTCATACAATATAGAGAGTATGTCATTCATATAGAGTGCATCTTTCTTCAGCAAATCCAATCTGGTATAAACTCAGAATTTTAGTGTGGTTTGAAGTGATTCTCAGCCTTTACATTGTCATGCTTGTTTTTGGGTTCAAAACTGGACAAATCTGAAAAACGAACTAGTCGTTCAATTGAGCTGGTCTTAAAAATAATTCAAGACTAGCAATTTAAAAATAGTTGAAAGCATCTTCTTATTTGTGGTTACTGCCTTATCCAAAATACAAATGGTCGTTTTATATGCAAAACCATAATCAAAGATCCAATCAAATTTTATTTTTCAGTAAAAGCACAACAGGAATTAATGTTAAACCAGCTGATATTGATTTCTCTTTCTAGTCCTTAAACTGGCAAGTTTTGGGGAAAATAGGACATTTAGGTGAAATTCTGTCAAACTACTATAGGTAGTGAACCACCATTGTTTAAGAGATTGTCTTTAAAGTGAAGACCTGCATAATATTAGAGATGCTATGAGCTTTGCTTTCTAGTTTATATAGGACTTTTACACTGATTTCCAATAGACATGTTCTTCTGACAAGTTGGTCTCCACTGGATCATTTGCAGCTGATGCTAAAAAAAACCCTGAAGCACAATCTGAGGAACAACTGGTCATATAAATGGCTTAGCTCAAGGGGAGGCAAAGATGTATCAATTTTCAACTTTACTGCCAGAATATCCTGCACAAAATCGAGAAATTTCGACTGAGAAAGAGGAGTTTAAAAAAAGAAAACTAGCAATAATTCAACTTGACCCATTTACATCGACTGCTGAGACCAGCATTATAGACGGCCATAATAGACAAATAAGAAGGGTCACTTCCAGATTGTCTGGTGAACAACTGAAACGCTTATACATTTTAGGTGTTATTTCAAATTTTGTTGGCACAAAAGTGCATGTTTTTCTTATTTCATTAACACATAGCCTTCATGACAATCAAAATGACTTTGGTTCCTAATAATGAACTACTATACCCATAGGAAGAGACACTGCAACACTTTAAGTATCACGCACTTGGTGGTTAAATACAGGATGAAATGCACTGAGCATTCATCTTGTGTCAGCTACCCACAATTGGGACACAAGAGCAGAAATGCATAGGATTTTGAGACTGTGCAGCACAATAGATCTGGCAGTAGCTTTGTTGCTCAGCAGCAAAGTTAGTGGGTCATTCAGAGTTGCTAAAGAAAATGCATACGAATATCAGGCTGAAGAGTCAGGTAACTACAGTCATGCGTGTAACAGGCAAAGCATAGAGCTTAAAACAAATTGTTTTGGTTGATATGCATCCTGAAAACAATATTCTGATGCTTCCATCCATTTCTTTCTACTCATTGAAAGATTAAAAATACAGACAGTACATGTGTGTTCTTCCTGAGGGAATGGGGTCAAATACAGTTTAAATCAGTGGAACTGGAGGAAGATGGACAAAGATTGAGAGAAACATTACTACATGAAAGCGTAACTAACGTAGGGTCATTCTTTTGTCCAATCTAACACAGGTTTTATATTAAGCTGAGGCAATCATAAAGTCGAGGCAATTACAATGAGCATCATTAATTTATCTGACGGTAGAACGTTCTGACGAAGGGTCATGGACCCGAAACGTTGACTCACTTTCCTTTCTCCATAGATGCTGCCTGACCTGCTGAGTGTTCCCAGTGACTTCTGTTTTTGATTCAGATTTCCTGAATCTGCAGTATTTTGCGTTTTGTTTATAGTTCTACAGAATTCAATACATACAGAAACAAAGTCCTGCATATAGAAAGTTAAAAAAAAATTCAATGGATATTTTGAATGGATGGAGTGGAACTTGCCAAGGTGGAACCTAAAAGAAACCTAGGGGTATTTGTTGACTCATCGCTCACTATGTCAAAACAATGTGATATAGCAATAAGCAAGAAAACAAGATTCTGGGCAATATTGCCAAATCAGTTGAGGTCAGTGTTTATACTTCACACAAGACCCACTTCTTCTTTTCCCCTATCCTATATTCCTCTATTCACTGCTCCCTTGTGTAAGCAACATGTTTTCTCTTAATTACATCAATGTTAATTGCAAAAATAAATTGCTTTAATCATAGTTTCCGACAGTGAGTTCCACTGTCTCGCCACCCTCTGTGTGAAGATGCTCCTCCTAAACTAGATCTACTACAAGCTATCCTATATTTAGTATGCCATGTATAATTGTACACATGTTAAACCTCTTCTATCTGGCCCACATGTTTATTTGGAGCCCTGAGCAGTGGGGAAGAGGGAGTAGGAAGAAAGGGAAGGAATAACGGAGTACGCTTTTACCTCACGCATGACTGCAGAACTGTTTGACACTGTTCAAAATGTCACCATCTTCAATTCACTCACCTTCAGGTCTCGGTGGACCACACCCATCTGATGGCAGTGTAGCACAGCCTCCAGGATCTGCTGAATGCAATGACTGCATGCAAACACCAGGGGCTTGTGTTAGTTCCAAGCTTACACTCACTCTCTGTGTACTGTTGGAGAGACTGGGTTCATGATAAATAGCAAACAACTGGGGATTTCTGCATCATCCTTAATGGACCTAAACACACATGTGCTCCAGCAGAATAATGGTCACCTCATGAACCAACAAATAGTCCACTTTTTTCCAGTTAAGTGTAGACATTCTTCCCTTTTTTAGCAGAAAACAGCTAAAAGAGGAAAACACCATTGGTCAGGTATTCAGTGGCAACCATAAAGTAATAAATAGCCAATAAGAAAATAGTTGCTGAGGTGCGGCGGTACCTCAAAGCTTTAGGGAACACAATTGTTGTATTTACACTTGCTTCTCCCCCCCCCCCACCCCGCAACATACTCACAGTCTAGTCAACAGACAGGAGTAACGTTTAGGTTCAACGCAGAGCTTTGATATTTATCTCTTTGTTTTTAAAGATTTATTTGGCATGCCCTGTAGGCTGTTAATATTCCAGTGGAGTAATGTGTGACCAGTTGTGCAAATAGTTGCTATCATAGCCCAAGTCTCAGAACAGAAGTGGTGTTCAATTCACAGACTGCAATGCATCACAAGCAAGCATCTTTTTTGGAGGGTAGGGAACTTTCACAACACACTTGCACACCCACATTTTTCATCTTTACAAATCACTGTTAAAAATGCTCAGTGTTCAAAAAGTTTTGAGATTGAAAAGTCCTGCCGAGTTGCATTTCAAAAGGTTCGAGCCATGATGCATAGCAGATCTGTGGGCTTGCAAATCGAGAAGAGGCACCATGCAGATTGTGCTGAGGCAAGGGATATCTTTTAGATAGTTCTCCCACCCCTACTCAGTGTATATCTGCTTGCAGTTCATTGGTAAATACTGACCTTCAGGTCCCTGTGAACTATCCCATTAAGGTGACAATGATTTACACTTTCTAGAATCTGCTGTATACAATGACTGTGAAGAAACAAGGGCAGAATGGAAGGGAGAAAAAATTTAGGGTACGTTGTCACAGTACGAACAAAGAAACTTCACTGAACAGAATGCCAGCAACTTTAAGGAATAAAAATGGCAACAGTGAATGAAGCTACGCTTACAAGTTTTAAAAAAAAGTATACTAACAGCCACAGCAGAGAACACAGTTTTTAAAAAATATAAAAAAAGTCTAATACAGCAAAAAACTAATGATTTCCTCAAAAAGCTTTTTATATAAAAAGGCACAAACAAAATTACAGGCAATTGCTTTAAATATGTTTTGGAGACAGACAAACACAGAAAATTGCATTTCACAGTGTTAAAATAAACAATGATCAACTACAAAGATATAATATATTTGGTTGAATAGCTACAATGTTGTCCCTCCCATCATAAAAATACTATAATGTACTTTTACAATAATTGTAGCTTTTAGTAGCTGTCTCTCTTTGAGCCAGCAAAACAGGAATTGACACCCAAAATTATGTTTGAGCAATTAATCCAGTCATTAAAGAATCTCAATCTCAAAATACAAACAAACAAAATTGCCACCAGCAATGGGATGGGGTGTGTGTCCCTCCCATCATAAAAATACTATAATGTACTTGACTTACAATAATTTTAGCTTTTAGTAGCTGTCACTCTTTGAGCCAGCAAAACAGCAATTGACACCCAAAATTATGTTCGAGCAATTAATCCAGTAATTAAAGAATCTCAAAATACAAACAAACAAAATTGCCATCAGCAATGGGATGGGGGGGGGGGGGGGGGGAGGAGTAGGAGGGAGTGTGCGCGTCAGAAGAAAAGAAAACACCTCAAGACGTTGTCTCTTTAAGAATTCCATTACATGGCCCCACTGAATTTTACATAAGATCCTGCTGTGAACTGAACCCTTAATTTCGACTGGATGAGGCAGCATCCACATCCCAACTCCAATAGAAACAAAGTCACATCAGATAAAGAACCAATGGAAGCATGCACCAGCCAAAGTAAAGTAAATGGTGGGTTGGATAAGAGCTTCATGCAGGTAGATTGAGTTTCTGAGAACATGTAGACAGATCCACGTGTTAACATTTTGTCCTTCTAGGTTCAATAGGTTCAATTTTCCATTGAGAGGATCAATGTATTGCAGAAACTAGGGGTGCCGATCATAAGATCATGTAGAGGTCACCCTGACGCTTCAAAGCACTGAAACACCTACGGTTTTTGAATGCTCAGACAGAGCAGTAATGAGAGCATTATATCTATGCAGTTGTGAAAATGTCCGGAACACAAATGCCCAAGTTCAGTACCCTGTGCCTTTGTGAGCCACAAGAATATATACTCATCTTTCTCCTAATAAATACAGCAGCATAAGCATCACGTCCTCAGGCAAATTGGTCATAGCTACTATGAAAATGATTCAGGCAATAACATGATCCTCTGGCTTCCTCCACCACCACCTGTGTTGAAGATCAACGTCCTGCTGCTATGCAAGTCCACCCTGTCTGTGGTTGGAGTTACTGTGATGACTATACCTTGAGATAGCCTTTTTCTTCATCATACTACATAATGTGTTTCTCTGTATGAAGAAATCTGACATAGAGATATACATGGAACTGAGAACCTACACATTCCTTGAAAATGGTGGAACTGAGAGCAAATATCAACCAAAAAAACTAGGTGTAATCCACTTCCTCGGTACAGTTCATACCCTTCATTTTCTAGAAATGACACCTAGTTTTTAAAGTAATGGTCTTTGAATGATCTTCTGTTACTAAATGTAAAACAGCAATGTCCAATTTTTATGTGGCGGTTGAATGAATGAGGAAATAAAATGCTCAGTTGTGATGTTACCAAAGGAATGGTGAGCTGAGTGAAACTGTAATTGGCATTTGTGAATAATCTTGTGGAAGGACACCATCTATTCCCACCTCCATTCAGAAGCATCTTTTCATTTCATTCATCTTTTCTGGTTTAACTCTATTCCTTCTAGTTCTCGCTAATTCTGTAAGTATCCTCTTCCCAGTCCATTTTAAGCAATCAATTTATTGTAACCATAGTAGTAATATATTAATATGTTTTACTTTACCCATTGAGGGGAAAAACATTCATAAAACGGTTCTGATCTTGAAGTTGTGCGAATACACAACCTCAATAAACATAGTTTTAATTATTCTATTCTCAAATGGAGAACTTCAGGAAAAGTAATTAGCTGCAGGGCTATTTGATGGACAATTATTCAATTGTAAGTTATTAAAACCCTGATGTACAAATGCACCCTGATGCGTTCAGTGAAATTGTGATTCTTTTGTCACATGGCAGATGACACAAAGAGATGAATGGGAAATGTTACACAGTACAAAAATGCTTGCAAGTCAAGCACAGCTTTGCTTCCATAGTGTGCCTACATTCTCAAGAGAAGTCTGGTCCAAAGAGCAGTTGGCAAACTCAAATTAGGTATATATGACTCAGTCATTATTAGCAATGCAAGTCACTATATTAGCTTCTCCAGATAGTTACACTCAAACCAAGCAATGTGTTTTGAAGAAACATATGAAATGTGAAGTGTATTTGGCTTAATTTTTGGATAGCACCAGTTTGTACCAAGTGGGAATCCGAACAAACACAGGTTTTAACTGTTTGGACAGCTGACTGGGAACTGCACAACATTAAACATCTAATGGTATTACAGAGTTTGCAAATTAAATAGACTTTCTTGCTAGAATCTTTACTTCTCGCTCTTCATAATGTAAGCTTCTAACCTGAATTCCACAGAATAGTATCTTCATCTGCAGATGCAAGCTGTAACTTATATATTTAAAGCAATTTTTGGTACTTTTTAAGTAGATTGACCTCTGGAGCTCAAAAATGTTCTTCCTTAAAATGGAATGATTGATCTTGATATAGAAGTATGACCCTGAATATTTATTTAACCCTAGTCTTACACTTAAGAATATTTTGTCAGATAAGGAACAAATGGTCCCTCTACACTTAAATGTTCCTTTGATTCTACAGCACTTATTCATAGATAAGATAGATTTCAAGTATAAGCTATAAATCCAAAGTTGAAGGCTTGCATCTGGACTTGCACAAGTTGTGTCATCACTGGGAACCATCAGCGGCTTAGGCTGATTTACATGTCCGATAGAGAATTCATTTCCAACTCTTGTTTCAAACCAAACTGGTTACCAATACAATGACTTATGTTGCAACTCTGCCTGTACACTCATCCAGGCTTGCCTGAGCAGTGCTCTGAAAGTAGAGATTATATTCATTTCAACTTTAACCACATCACTGATTGAGCTGACGTGAGTTGACAGGTAAGTGACACCAGGCCTGTAAGTTAGGTAGTAATGCAATTTAAACAGCATGAGCTATAGATGATCTTGACATCTTCTTCTGAGTCAGAGGAACAACTTGACCAGTACAGTTGTACTGACTGAGCTGTTAACTTAAGATTTCTTTCTATAAGAGTATCAAAGTAGGCCATGCAAAGTTGAAGGATTTATTTCCAGGAAAGTTAAATGTCAAATAGCGATATAATCACTGCTCCAGTGGCAAAAGATGAACATTGTGGTTGGAAGATGATGAACATATTTTGTGGAGCTTGATGAATAATCTATGGATGTTGTAGAGATCTTGAAAACAGATAGTGGCACTGACCAAAGACAACCAAAAGCAAGCCAAGCCTCAAATGGTAACTTTAGAACAAGAAAACATGATCAAAGCCTGAAAACCATTGCGACTTATATGGCAAATTGTGCTAAAACCACTTTAGATATTTGAAATTCAACAAAAAGACGACAAAGAGAACACAAAATACCACAACATAAAAGGTCTGATGGGGGTATTAACCTTTTCATGGCACATTGACAGCTATCACTAATGCCAAGAATGGAGCTGTACTTTCAGAGCTAAGTCTATATATTCACTTAGTGATGGGGGAGAGAAAGTAACTAATATGTGACTAATATGATGTCTTCAGAAACTACACTTTTAAAGGGACAGTGTTCTAGTGAATGGCTCCAATTTGAAAGGTAGCTTCCTTATTTGTACATGGAGGAAGCTTTACGGTAGCTCATTTTAAATAGCAACTGCAGGGAAGTAAGTAACTGGATATAAACAAGATAATCAAAACCCAGAGTTAGATATTTAGAAATAGAATCACAAGCAGTGGAAAATGAAAATTCAGTTCTGAAAAAGACAATCCTTAATTAGGTGGTTTTAATTTGCAAAATATTTATAGTTCATCAACATTTCAAATTACATTTACAAGTGAATAAGGAATAAAGCATCAAAATCCTTTCAAGACACAAATGTAATTCAATTTGAAATATTGCTTCTGAAGTTGTCTTTCTAAAAATATTGTTTCACGTTCAACTGCTGCATTATCTTTGAGGGTCAAAAAGTCTTCTTCGATCATAGTTATTTCGGACGTGCTAATAAATTTGTTTAACAGTAAATTTGACAATAACACTTTACATTTTTTTAATGCTGAGCATTAAATTTCTTTGAAAATGCCAGTGTTGTTGATACTAATTAACAACAACTTGCATTGATATAGCGCTGTTCACACCGGGTAGCGTTCCAGAGCGGTTAACAATGGCGGAGCCTGAGCTTGATTAGATATTAATCCATCCAATTAATTGAACTGAAAGGCAAAAATATTTTACCCACAAAAGCTACAGGAAACAAGAACAGGACATTTAGTCTATGAGATGGTTTTATCAGTATATCAGATTTTGGCAGTTTGTTTTCATCCGAATGGCTTGCCCTTTTGCCCTTTTGCAATACTCCTGAATACCTCTATGACCTATATCTGTTTATTTCTCTTTTACACATCCATATTGATTCCACATCTTCATAACCTGAGGAAATGCTTCATGACCCCAGTTCTTACCACTTATGATACTATGTTAAGATGATGCCCCCTTGTAAAGAGTCGTGCACTATTTAACCCGAATCTTCCTTTCATTATTTTAAATACCTCAAGTAAATCACCCTTCAACCTTCTTTGCTCTAAGGAATATAACCACACACTATCTAGCCTCTCATTAAATGTAATTAAACTGTAAAATTTGTTTGGGTAGTTTTGAAAACTAATTATACATTTCAGATTTATATCAGAATTTTTTTGATCAAGATTTTGGAAAAAAAAGTCTGTCTTTTGCTAGTATTTAATTCCCGAAAACGTAAATTTGTCCACTTTATTGTTAGTCATTTCACTACTATGTATATGTTATATACTTCTACAGACATTTGCAAAATTTAATTGATTAAAAGTCTTCTGTTAAAATGGCTAAATACATGTTAACATTAACTGCATATTAAATCATTAGCTTCTAAAAGTCACTTCCTTTGCTCTGCACTTTTTTAAAAAAACTTCTAAGTGTAAAGTGGACAAATTGTTTTGTTTAAAATTACCTCAATTTTGGTTTCTTTAAGGAAATGAAAGTTAACTGTTTCCACATTAAGTTCGTACAGTAATTCTTGGGAATTTTTGAATGAGAAAACTGTCTTGTACTATAGCAGGAGATTTTGCTACCATTAAAGAAGATTCAGAAACATTAGTGCAGCTTCTCCTCCTGTGTCTAATCTCATCTCAGGCTACTTCAAACCGTTTACGTCAACTGAAAAAAAGTCAAAATCATTGACAAAATGCATGACGTGGTCACCACAAAACCCGGAAATAAATCATGATCAGAGGCTTACCTGGCATCTGCTTCACTATAATATTCCCTGGCAACAATGTCTTCAAATAATTCTCCTCCAGTCACTCTGAGAAGACAAGGGATGCAAGTAAAAGTTTAAAATCTCTCCTTAAACAAAACAGAACATAGAAATACAAGATATTTTGTGTATTTCACAAGTGTTTCAACTGGATTCTTTCCCAACACATGCAAGAAATTGATATGAGATTTCTTGATGATGCGACACAGTGAAGTTCCAGTGAAGTATCTAACATGTCCGGAGCTCTAAGCATGTTACGTCTTTAGGAAAGTGTACCTTTTTTTTAAAAAAAGTAAAATTACAGCAGCTACATTTTGCAGACAGCAAGCAGTTCAAAAATATATTTTCACTGATGCATATCAAAAGGTGCTAGTGTTCCTGAGGTAATTAGAAAGAGATGTGAATTGCCACCTTATCTGCTACATGTTCTGGATATAAATGGATGCAATAGCTGCAGTGTACCATTGTATTATAAACAACACAGGAGATTTGAGTTTTGTGATGGTGGAATAGATATTCTTCATTCACTTGTAAATCAACATGATTTACACAAAAAAATTATATTAAATAAGGTGGCTTATCTTCAAACATGCATTTTATGGAATGTATGGCTGTGTCTTGATAATACATGCACTTGCAGCAAAATAAAGATTCATTATTCGCTTCCATTACAAACTATTTGTGAAGCCAAACTAAGGAGCAAACAAATGTTTGTAGGGGACAATGGAGTCGCCTAGTCTCCCAAACCTAACCAGTAGATGGGAAACTATTGCAGGTGAAAATGTAATGCTAATGACATTGAACAGTAACATTATGACTTTCTGGCCCAATGAGACATATAAATATCATTTATAGAATGAAAATTATTTTAAAAGATTTTTTTTAGTCAGCTATGTATCAGGCTCTTGCAGATCTGGTAGAGAAGTCATTTCCAACCCTAAAGCGCTCCAGGACGCTACCGTGCGTGAAGGGCGCTATAAATACAAGCTGTTGTTGTTAATTCAAACCCAACTGGTTATCAAGATAATAACTGATGTCACAACTCTGCCCTTGCACTTATCCATGCACATCCCATTTGAGTAGTACTCCATGAAAAGAGGCGACATCAATTTCATTTTAACCACTTTACTCACTAATCTGAAGTCAATTGACAGGGAAGTGACTCCAGACCTGTAAGTTAGGCAGTCGTACAATTTAAACAGCATAAGATTGATTGAGGCTCAGATGATCTTGACATTGTCTTCCAAATCAACAGGGAATGTGACCTAACAGATATAACTGCACTGAGACATTACTTAAGTCTCTTTCTGTAAAAGTATCAAAGTAGGCCATGTAAAGCTGAAGGATTTACTTCTAGCAAATCGAATTGCCAAATAGCCATGTGACTAGTTTTTCATCACAGGTTTAATTGGAGAGATAGACCTGCTTCTGTTGGTAATACTTAATGAAAAGCAGCCGAAATTCTAGCCACCAAACTCCCAAAGACCATTACTGATGTCAGATATAGACAGCCTCTGCATCAAGTAATTGCTAGAAGATGATTGGCAATGGAGTGAAAAGATACAATGATAATTTTCAGATGTACAAGTGGCACGAAGCTGAATCACACTTCAAACATGCACGATTCCTTTCAAAGAGGTTTTCTCAATCATCGCTGCCTAATAACGGTAAGAGGGACCATGGAAAAAACGGAGACATCAGGATCAAGTCGCGTGATATCAAAGCACGTCTCCTGCCTTCTGCTCCTGTAATTTCAGTATTGGGAAACCTAAAATCTCACATATATATGAAGCTTGGATCATATGTTTGGCACAATGGGAATGGTATGGAAAACTAGAGTCCTACTGTTCTCGAATGTAAACCGGGAATCACTCTATACTCTTTCTCCATCCAGTTCAAGAATGAAAAAAAATGAATTAACCATTGAAAAATTCCCAGTTGAGTAAATTTGCTTTCATAAATATCAGCATCCATTTAATGCCTCTCAGTTCATTAAACATGATAAGCACAGTCTTGAACTAACCATAAAAGATCTGCCATGATCTTGTACTTCAGTTGAGATGTTAAACCAAGACCTCAAGTTAAAGATGCCACAGCACTATTCGAAAAGAGAAGGGAGTTTCTCCCAGTGTCCTGGTCATCAATTCCCTAAGTAAAACTGGTCATTGACTTTATGGCTGCTCGTGGAGTATTGCCATGTTCATCTGCAAAGCACAGTCACTGCATTTTACAATGTATATTGTAAACTGCTTTGGGACATCCTCCCAGCATGAAAAGATGCTATACATTCAAGAACAGCAGGATTCTAGTTTTCCGAACAGTGCATTGTGCCAAACGTTTGATTCAAGCTTCGTGTGTGTGAGACTTTAATTTTCCCAATACTAAAATTATGGGAGCAGAAGGCAGCAGAGGTGCTTTAATATCACACGACTTGATCCAAAGGATTATTATTGTTACTAAATTGATGGAAGACTCAATGAGCAGAATATCTTCCTCCTGTTCCTGTACAAGCTACTTCACCTTTTCCCATTGCTGTGCCACAACTTGCATAAAAGCTGTGGATAACAATGTTGTCCATTTTTGAGCAGGTGTACAACAATGGAGGCAAATATTTTATCTGTGAATTTTGAAGCAATTGAAAGACTTTCAAAAGATCAATGAAAAGATTCAGCTAATGACACCTACCAAAGTGCATCTGAAATTAACGTATTCATATGCACTGGTGGACAGCAGGCTATTAGATCATATCAACATTCTGCATGGGAAAGACACACTGAAGCACCTGACCAGCTAGAACGTAAAGCAAACAGCAGTGGAAAGCTTTATTTGTCCTGGTCTTTGTTAACAACATGAACACCTTTGTGGAGTAACAAGGATCTCTGATATTGTGTGCATAAGGTATGATTTTTATTTAGTGTGTGGCAGGTCGTGAAGCTTGGCAAACGCATCACTTCAAAAGAGAGCTGGGGTTTTAATCTGTTTTCCCAAAACTGGACAGTTCTGCTTGCTGACAATTGTATCTATTTCCAGAAAAGTTCATGGTTTTAGAAGGCTGCGGTGGAGAATGCTGCATGGTGCACAACAGAATTAACAGCTTGATGTATGTACCAACAGCTTCTTTCACTTATAATAATAATAATAATAATAATAATCCTTGCATTTGATATAGCGCTTTTCACGTCGGGAGGACATCCCAAAGCGCTTCACAGAACACACTGTAAAGTGAATTGACTGTATATTTGTGGGCGAACGCGGCAGCCAATTGCGCACAGCAATGTCCCACAAACAGTCGTAGATTGAAAATGACCAATTTATTATTGTCTTGTTTTGGAGGGATTATTATTAGGCGTGTGGAGTAAGGAAACTTGCCCAAGGTTTCGCCCTGCCTGGAATTGAACTCAGGTCTCTCGCTTGCAAAGCGAGTGCTCTAACCACTGAGCTACAGGACTCCACAAAGTGTTCATTTATTGCTTTAACAAGAGCTCAGCATTCAAACATGCTTATTTCTTCCAACAACTCCCAATTGGGGAGCAATAAATGACATTAAATACTGTATGTCAGTTGGAAGTGCTTCACATTTGACTTTTTTAAACCGTAAATAAAATGTCAACGGCAGGAATTTCGGCACAAAGCACACAGGAACTTCTAGGCTTCTAAAAACAAGTTTTCAATAGAAACACTGTGGGAAACCTGAACAGCTTTGAAAGGGTTCAAGAAGCCCAAAACCTCAGGGCATGACAAAGATCAGAAAGAGTTCTAGTGAAGAGGTTGCAAATAACAACAACAACAACAACAAGATTCCATTTATAGAGCGCCTTTCACGTCAGGAGGACGTCCCAAGGCGCTGCACAGTTGGGTCATGACCCGAGCAGGGGGGAAATGGTCAGGGTGAGGGGAGGGAAGGGAGGGAGAGAGGAGGGGGAAATGGTCAGGGTGAGGGGAGGGAAGGGATGGAGCGAGGAGGAGGAAGAGAGTCGAGAGGGGAGCTGAAGGCTCGGTCAAAGAGAAAGGTTTTGAGACCGGCCTTGAAGGAGGAAAGGGAGGAAGCAAGGCGAAGGCACTGGGGGATGGAGTTCCAGAGCCTGGGAACTGAGAGGCTGAAGGCCCGACCACCAATGGTAGGGCGGTTGGGATGGGGGACGTGGAGCAGACCGGAGCCAGAGGAACGGAGGGTACGGGCAGGTAGGTAGGGGGATAGTAGGTTGGAGAGGTAGGAGGGAGCAAGGCCGTGAATGGCCTTGTAGGTGAGGATGAGGATCTTGAAATCAATCCTCTGGGGGATGGGGAGCCAGTGGAGGCGAGCGAGGGTGGGAGTGATGTGGTCCCGAAGCCTGGTGCGGGACAGTACACGAGCTGCAGAGTTCTGAATGACCTGCAGCTTGTGGAGGGAGGTGGCGGGAAGGCCGGCGAGGAGAGAGTTCCCATAGTCCAGCCTTGAGGTGACAAAGGCGTGAACCAGGGTTTCAGCAGCGTGAGGGGTGAGGTAGTGCCGTAATCTGGCGATATTCCGGAGGTGATGGAAGGCGGTGCCAGTTGTGGTGCGGATGTGAGGGAGAAAGGACAGCTCAGGGTCGAACAAAACGCCGAGGTTCCTGACTGGCTTTGAGAGGTGGAGAGTGCAGCCTTGGATGCTGATGGTGTCAGCGCCTGAGGTGCAAATAACTGGTAGGAAAGAGTCAAGTCACCTAAAATATCAACAAATTGGTACAATTTAACACCTCTTTACACCTATCAACACGACACAAATGAAATTGCAAGTTTGGGAAGACAGTGAACATTTAGATTTTTAATCACAATGTTACAATAGAGATTTAGATGAAAGAAAGCCCTTAGGTCCATTTGTTCTTATCCTTCCAAAATGTAAACCCTGCCATTCTTTCATTATAAAATCAGGCTGCTTCTTAAATTAGTCCTATGTCCTGGATTCTACTATTATTTCTGAAAACCAATTCCAGGTGTCAACCTGCTATGTAAAGCATATTTCCTGAAATTGTCCTTCACTTGTATTGTCCCGAACCTGTGTCCCCTTGTCCTGATGCATTGGCATA